AAATTATGGTTTCATATTTTTAATTTTATAATTTCTGCATGCCATCTTACTAGATCTAAACTGATGATCTATAATCCAGAATCGCCAAAGTCCCAACGTCCGGATTAACGACTTTTGACTGTAGTAACCCTTTCATATGGACCGTTGTTTTTTTTATTTTAACCATTCTTTTTAGTTGCTGTGTTTGGTTGCACGTGTGTTGGTGTTGTATTTTGATATGGATACCATCATTTGAGTATGTCTGAGGTAAGTAAGAGGCTGAATGTTTGATGGTTTGTATGCTATTATACGTATTTATCTGCCATTAACAGCGGATGAGCCGAAACGACCAAAAATTTAATTTAATTGCTTACTTGGAGGATGGAGGAAATGTTGGTGGGAAGCGTGAACGTATGCACGTGAAAAAAAGGTATGTTAAAAAATTTATGTTTCATTTATTATTTATTCGTCTTTGTGTGTTAATTTTTGTTAAAATATTTGTTGTTTAATGTTTTTATGTTAGGAAATATGTATTTTTGGTTATTTATTACTCTCTGTTTGTGTCTTTTTGGTTATTTATTCATCTCTGTGTGTTATGACAGCAGCAAATTTTTTCTTATATGATAGTTTTAACTTTGTTTTACCTTTACATGGACAAAGTTTAGGTAGTGCAACAATCCTTAGTTTGTACGATTCTCTGATGTTTTATCAAGTTAAAATAGGTCGATGTGTACATGGATACCGAGTTTGTGTAAGTCTTATACTTTTTGCTTTGGTTTAGAGTAGCAGGCAGAAAGATCAGCGCCATCTTGAAATTGGTGCTGATCTTGGCATAAAAAAAGAAACAATTTGCTGAGAGTTACTGTAGAGTACATTTTAACCGTGAGAAACAATTTACATATTTATTGAGTATTTCAATTACATATGTCAATTAAACTCCAAGATATGTCTTTGTTTTAATATATCAGTACTTATTTATTAATGCAGCCACTTTAGTAGGTGGTGCCAAATTTTCAGAATATGCCAAGTTATATGCAAAACAGTTACTAAGTTTTAAGAGCTACAACACATATATTCTTCTGTGGTAAAAATTTACTCTACGATATCCCTTGATGAATCGTTTCTTTTTTGACAACAAGATCGGTGCCAGGAAGGATTGGCGGCAATTTCAAAATGGCTGCTACACAAAACCAAAATAAGAAGTCAAAGACTTACACAAACTCTGTGTCCATGTACACATTGACCTATTTTCATTTAAAAAACAATCAAAGAATTGCACAAAATAGACATTGAGCAATGCCTTAACTTCCTGATTGTGTTTAAGTGAAAGTAGATCGATGTCCATGTATACATTGATGTGTTTAAGTGAAAACAAAATCAGGAGGCTAAAAGAAGGTTAAAACTATCATGGCAACCAGAAAAAAATTTGCTGCTGTCTTAACACACAGAGACGAACAAATAACCAAAAATACATATTTCCTAACATAAAAACATTAAGCAACAAATCTTTTAACAAAAACTTAACACAAGAGATGAATAAATAAATGAAACGTCAATTTTTTAACATACCTTATTTTTACATGCATCTCCTCCATCCCCCAGGTAGGCAATTCAATTAAATTTTTCGTTGTTTCAGCTCATCCGCTGTTAATCAGCATTCATCCTCTTACTCACCTCAGACATACTGAAATGATGGTACCCACAAAAGAATAATAGCAAGTTCAAAATCCAAGACCATACCGTGCACGTGCAAGCAAACACAGCAACTGAAAAGAATAGTAAGAACCAAAAACCTGGCTCCATACGAAAGGGTTACTATTGCAGAAAAGCGCAGTGGGCTTCCAGATTTCGCGAATAACCAATACTGCTTCGCGATTTTTTTCAGAAAAAAACCAAGCTGTACCATACAGTAACGATTAGCCTCTTCTTCTTTTTTTCATTCTAAGTTGGAATGCTTTTATAAACTTAAGTATTATATATTTTGGGAAAAATATATTTCAGGTTCTCTTTGGCAAAATCTGGTGAATTTTTTGATGCCCTTTCTGTTTACGTGCAATGCCCTTCCATGTATAATAGCATCCAAAACATAATTAAAAAATTTTAAAAAATCATAATCTCAATGAACTGCATTTTAAATCAAAATAAAACAAGGAAATAATGTAAAAATGTAAATACATGCTATCTAATCTGCAAAGTACTAAAAGAAAATATTGACTTACTGTATTTAAAAATTTCTGTGTCTTCAGTGTGTGGTGCATAGAATTCGTTAACAGCATCCAATAACTGTTTAAAATTATCTGAACTAGAATCTGTGTACTGCCATCACCACATAAATTCACAAAAGTAAGAATCAAAAATATTGTCCATACTGCTGGACTCTCGGTGGCATTTCTTTCGAAAATCCCTTTTTATTATACTCCACATACCTTCCATAGTGTTCATATGAGCTTTGGTTTCTGAATCCTTAAATATTACTGCATAATTTATTTAGAGGTGAACTGAACCATTTAAACATTTCATTTACACACCAGTCAATCAAGACTTTCATTCCAGATTGTACAGAAACTTTAGGTTAATATTACCACCGACAGCCATTTTATGTTGTAAAGCATAATATAAGCAACATACTTTCTAACTGACAGTCAACGCAGACATAAGCCCTGAGAAATATTCTCCCAAATAATCAAAATCAGTGCAATCACATATTATAATCAGTCGCATCATAGTAGGGTTACCAAAATATACAGTGGATACAAAAAGTATTTGCACATATACATTTTTGCTCACAATTTATAAGAAAATGCATTAAGAAATAAAAAAATTGGCATTTAAAAATAGAATAAGCTTATTCATTTAAATTAATTACAAAAAATACAATATTAATAAAAGACATTTTTTGCAACAATATTAAAATAGCTTATGTCATAAAAGTATTTGCACACTCGAACTCAACTTTAGCAAATTTGCATTTTTATGCTATTATTTCACAGTCATCCCGCAGTAAATAACATACGTAAAACTACCAGATACAGTGTTGTCGAAACGTTATCAAGTTGATTGTCGATTCAAATTGTAATGGCACCTAAGAAATTTGAATTGCCGATTTCGTTGCGAGAAAAAAAAATTTTTCTCTACATGTGAAAATGGCCTAGTTATCGAGAAATAGGTAAAAAAGTAAATGTTTGCTTATCTACTATTTGGTATGTTATAAAATGTTGTAAAGAAAGAGGATCTACATCAAATAACTTGCGCTCTGGACGCCCAAAGAAACTTTCACTGCGAATGAAGCAAAAAATCATAAGAGAAGCATCAAAAAATCAATTTGTTAGTGCAATTACTTTAGCCAATGATGTCGCTTCAACATCTGGAGTTCAAATCTGTGCCCAAAGTGTTCGAAATGTCCTGCACGATGCACAGATTTATGGGAGATCACCAAGGAAAAAACCTCTCATAACTGAACGAAACAGGCTGAAGAGACTTGAATTTGCTAAGGAATATATCAATAGCCAATTGATTTCTGGAAAAAATGTCATATTCTCCGACGATAATAAGTTCAATATCTTTAAATCAGATGGCAGGAATTAGTTTGGAGAAAAACCTTGTACTGCTTTTCATACCAAAAATGTGTTACCTACAGTTAAACATGGAGGAGGTTCTGTTATGATTTGGGGGTGCATGGCTGGCAAAGGAGTTGGTAATTTGTGTTTCATTGATGGGAATATGACAGCTCGAACCTATATAGATGTGTTGCGAGATAATTTGCCGCAAAGTGCAATAAAATTGGGTATCAGTAATTCATACTATTTTCAGCAAGACAATGATCCTAAGCACATTGCCGGTATAATACGTATGTGGTTGCTTTACAATGTACCCAGAAAACTTGCCACTCCTCCACAATCACCAGACTTAAGTCCTAAGTAAAATTTGTGGAATTCTTTGGATTTAAAAATAAGAAAAAGGAAGATTTCAAGCAAATCTGCCCTTAAACAAGCCCTTATTGAAGAGTGGTTGAATACTGACCCTACTGTTACAGAAAATTTAAATCAATGCCAGCAAGATTACAAGCAGTAATAGATGCTAAAGGCATGCATACTAAATATTAGTTATTTGAAATTTGCTTATATATTTTATTTCTTTTGTATTCATGCAGGTGTGCAAATACATTTTTGATACCAGATATTTTAATTTTGTTACAAAAAAGCATTGTTATTTATATTATTGTAATTTTTCTGTTTGTTTTGGATGATTAAACTTATTCTGATTTGGCAATACCAATTTTTTTTTTATTTCTTAATGCTTCTTTTTATGAATTGCAAACAAAAATGTAGGTGTGTAAATACTTTTTTTACCCACAGTACACCTTAAAATAGTCAGGTTACTATAAATGAAACAACAACTTTAGGTTGTTTCCTTTATGATAACCATGATATGATATCATTTATGATAACCCCAAAATATAGAATACCCTATATTTTTTTAACCTATTTTAAAATATGAACTTGTGTGATTTGCTAGCGGTGGAAGAAATTGAGGTAAAATATGTGCAGACATATAGTATTTTTCTGCAAAATTGCTAAAGGGAACAATTGCTTAGACTCTATTCTCAAAACGATCACTATAAAATTTCCACCGGAGAAGGGGCAGAAAAAAAAAGGAAAAAAAATCTGCTTTTAAGTTGTTGATTTTTGGGATAAATACATAATTAAAATTCAAAATATGTAGGTATATAATGAATAATTATACATAATCATTCTTTTTGTTTCATAAAAATTTGCCCAATTATGCTTGGGTGATTCAGCTGATATGCAAGTACCAATATTCATTCTTCATCAAAAATGAAGAATTCATTCTTCCATCAGAAAACTTGCCATCAAAAAAGATATTCATATAATATATGGACAAAAAATAATTTAATGAAACTTGATTGTATTGTAGAAACATTACTTTATTGAGGGTTGTTTTTGATTTGAAATAAATAATCTATTAAACCATGTATAATTTTATATGTATGCTATTTCAGATGGATTACATGGATAAAAATAGAAATTTGGATCGTATTAGTGACAGATCAAGAGCTGAGAAAAGAAGAAGGTATTTTCACTTTTTTTTTTCTTTTTAAATGTTTATTCTTTTTAAGTTATTCAGTGTATTTATAAGTTGGTGTTACATGAATAAAAAGTATGCTAACTTTAAAAATAAGAAGTTCAGCCTTTTATATATATATTATAGAAAAGTTTTATGCATATTTTTTTCCCATGAGAGCAGGCTTTTATTTAATTAAAAAAAATATGATAAACATTCTCAAGCATACAAATTTGAAATTAAATCTGCAATATATAAGGCAATATTATACATACTTTTAGGCACAATATAAAAATACCCTATTCTTATCAAATCGTAAGTAGCATGCATTGCATTGTATGGTTTACCTAGAATAAGCAGTTAGGGATGTATTGACAGTATTTAATGTTCTCCTTTGACTTTTCAGTCAGTTAATTACCAACTATTTATGATATAAATATAACTTATCAGCTTAGACAATAATCTATATAAGAGCTTCCAAGAATTGATAATAATTAATTACTTTAAGTAATAAATCATAATTATTTAATTGAATCTTAAATTTTTGAATCGAGTCATAATTTGAAGTTGTGTTATGCTCTGCAACATATCTGCAAAAATCCTTTGGAAATGGTGATTGTTTCCTCAAAATCTTGCTTAAAAGATCCTGATCGATTAAATATGAAAATCTAAAAGCATTTAATTTTGATTTAATACAACTGTAATATCTATTTATTGTGATTCATTTTGATGGATCCTATATTTGACTTAAGGAAGGAATTTAAGAATTTGTGGTTAAATTTTCAGAGAATTTCATGTGTGAACTTATTGTACAAGAATCACCAGAGTTGATCATAATCTGTTACTTGAAATAATATATCATAGTTTGATATTGCTAAATGATTTCTGCAGATGTATTTAGATTTCATCTACCACCTAGCAACTTTTTTACTTACGTTTGTAAGCACTGGGTAATGCATAAAACTGTCAAAATTTTATGTGTCTGTCTACGAGATTGCTTCAGATTTAAATTGATTGTTTAAGAAATGAACTAATTTTGAATGATTCCAGATTGCTCTGAAGGTTTAATGAGGTGTTTTTGAGATTAAATCCTGAATCTTTGGAGCAGAATCATTTGCCATATGAAATCATCAAAGCAACATATTTTTGTGGTAGAGATTGAACCCAATAAAGTGATGTTAACATGATGAGAAAAGGAGAATGAACAAATTTTTCATGACTTTATATATATATATACACAAATATGCATATGCACATAATATATATGTAGATATGCATACACATGCATGCACTACATATATTTATATATATATCATTATATATCATATTTATTATATATCACTTCAGATATTAATTTGATTTAAACTATTTACAGTAATTTTTCTGATCATGCTATTTCAGTGAAATATATCACTGGATGAATAAATACCCTTGTATCTTTCTTATTTTAGGCTAGCTTTGTCTCAAATAAATAATCATTTACTGATTTTTTTTAACCTTTTCCTTGAATACCTTATTTGAATTGAAAATCACTTCTGATGTCCGCAATGTGTTTGTTGAAAGGAAAGTTATAATTAATCATTATATAGAATGCAGTTATGTAATTATGTCATATTGTATTTCATTTGCATTTGGAGGAAATTTTTTTTAATATTGCTTCTGCATGTGTAACCTCTGTCTTTCTTTTATTATGCAAATGATTGAAAACTGTAAGAAGCTCTACTGACAAAATGTTAAGTATTTAATCTTGAGTATTGCTGTTATATTATTTACATGCAATAAATATAGGTCTGTAATTTTGTACAAGTGAAGCGTGAGCCTTTTTTGTCCCTCAACTAATTTAAAATTTAACAATTCAGCCATTGTATATTATTTCAATTGTATTGTCATATTTTATTTTTTTAATTGCAGATCACGATCTCATAGCCCCAGAAGGCGACCTCGCAGTAGGGACAGAAGGTAACAATATATCTTTATAATATCTCTTTAAAATAAAAACTTGATTGCAATTTATTTAATATGATGATATAATTTTTTCCCCTATGTACTAAGACAAATTATAAGTATCCTGCATTGTTTAGTCTTATGAACTTCAGTTCATTAAATATACTTTATAATTTATAAATTAAAATTTTCAAGCTACAAACTGCCACTGCAAGCATTACAACTTGCATTTGAAGTGGTTGGTTGTAATGCACTGCCACTTTACAGCATTGAAATTGCAGCAGTAATATATGTACTTTTGCACATATATAATGCACAATATATGCTGTCTAGCTAATACATTACTACTGTACCATAATTTGTACATTGTTTATAGTATTACTAGTACAAGTTACTAGTAGTAGTTGGTTGTTTAATTTTTGTAGAGAGCATAGTCAAATTATGCAAAGTGAGTTATAGAAATCAGGTCAGATGTTCATAACATACATATCTATACAGTCAAAAGTCGTTAATCCGGACTCGTCGGGATTTCGGCGATTGCGGATTATCGATTTTTCTGGATTATAGATCATCAGTTTAAATCTCGTAAGATGGCATGCAGAAATTCTAAAATTAAAAATATGAAACCGTAATTTATGAAATAAAGAACAATTATGATCTAAAGGGTATCAAAATTTGCAAAAAAAAAAAAAAAAAAAAAAAAAAAGCATAATATTTATTTGTTTACTTTATGAAACATTTCTTTCAATGTAAGTTGTTTTAAGTTGCTTCGTTTTATGTGATAATACTTTCTCTTTAATTCTATAAACAGACATAATTTCTTTTCAGTTAAAGAGTTCCGCTGTTCAAGTCCTGTAATTGCTGTGTTGAGAATACCGACTAACTTGGTCAATCGAAATTTTTTCGTTTTCACTAACCTCTCTGTCACCTTCTTCATGTCTTTATCCATTTTTTGCAGCAATTCCACTTTTTGTTTGATGGACATCGAAACATACTTTCGTTTTGTAGATCCTTTGGTAGCTCCAGCATTGGAAATTCTATTTGACATAATCGAAAGTTCAAGTTTACTTTTATAAAATTGCTCTTACAGTCTGCAAAAAATAATAAGGGATCCAATTCGAAGATTAAGGAACAACGCAATCATCAACGTTAACTGAAATAGATAATTAGATAATTTTAGCTTATACCGTCCGTTATACATAAAACACGCACGCGAAAACGTATTCTGCATTTCCGCACACGCATATGCGCAGTCGTAAAGGTCTTACGTGCATGCGTAAACGCCTATGCGCATGTGTCAACGCGGCGCATGCGCAGAAAGTTTTTAGATTTGAGGTCCAGATTATAGATCATTCCGGATTATGGGTGTCTGAATTAACGACTTTTGACTGTATTAGTTTAAACTGTAGTAGGGTTCATAGCGGTCCTTACAAGTGCTTATAAGTCCTTATATTTGAAAATAAAATATAAAAGCCCTTATAGGTGCTTACTTTTTCATTAAAGCCCTTATTTTTTTTGTTTTTAGTGCCTATTTTTTGCTTTTAGTGCTTTTTTTAATGAACGCACATTTTTCCTCCGCACCAAAGCCGAAACTAAAACAACTTTTCTTTCTTATATGGAACATCGGATGGTGAATCATACTCCCAGAAATAGCTTTTTCCCCTTTCTCTGCATTAACGTAACCTATGGTGCGCGCGAGAGTATAGACAGGTGCGCGTCGTTCTTTGGTCAAAGAATTGCGAAAACCGTAGAAAATTCTCGGTACATTCGGTATTCTTTTCCTGCCCACCCAAATACTACAAACGTTTGAATTTCTATCAAGATTTTAATAATTTGCATTCTCGTTCCGTGTGGTCAGTTTCATATTCGTGTTTATTATGATCGTTATGCTTATATTATGAGCATATGTATGAATATTTATAATATAGTTGCAGTAGCTGCTGAAGTGTAGATAAACTTCCAAAAAATGGGTGTATTTTTACACAGATTAGCTTTCTAAGGAATAATATTCGGAATGGCTTAAATAAGAAGAAAGTAATCGAATAGTCAATTTTTTTTTTTTTTTTTTTATCCCAATACATTATACAGTACAGAGGTTGGGAGGTTCTCCCCTTCTCTGCAAGATCTCTAATATTGAAGCAGCAGACTTTTTTTTTTTTTTTTTTTTGTCACTGTCCAATCTGGATTGAATAGGACTAAAAGTTCTGCGGTCTACCTAACCCAAGCGAAGAATGATTCTATTCTGGAAATTTAACGCAGTCTGTTCAAAATTAGAATAAAAAACACCCCAGATTAGTAAGTTCTCTTTCTTTTCCTTATTTAGTTCTTTATTCTCCGAATACCGGAAGCTGTTGATTCCGATTGGGCGTAATATCACATGGAAGAATTATGCCGCACGTATTTTGCAATAACGTTTTCTTTGCAGTATTTATTCTTCGCAGAGATAATTAATTTTGATGTTCAGTCTGAGATTTATTTATGAATAACACTTATTTCAAAGATAAAGAGTTTTACTGTGCTTTCTAAGCACAGAATATTTCTTTAGTTCCGTTGGTCTATTTTTATATGATGCAGATATCGAAATGTCAAAATCATTTATTTAGCCGAGAAAATCTAAAGAACGGCTTGACAATCGCCCTCCCTCCTCTTTTTCCAGTTACGCTCGACTATACGGAATATTCGGCAATTTCCGAGTATGCGGGTTAGTTAAGCTTTTACTGTTAAAGGATGACTGCATGAAGCAATTTCTCGTCTCCTGGTTTCAGAAATGTTCCTCTTTTTTACTTAAATTACTTTACTTGGAATATATGTTAAGGGAAAACTGTTATGCAATGAAAATTTAGAAAATGTTCAGAATTTTGATTTAAATTAAAATTATTTAAATATTCATATGAGTGGAAAAATAAATTGTATTTATTATTAGGTGCCAAGCAAATACAATTAATATGGCTTATTATTATTTATTTTCTATATTTTGAACTGAAATTTCATCATTAAATCTTGTAATATATTTTAGTTCTGCGTAGTTTTTTTTCCTCTCATTGTAAACTAATTCTGTAAATTGAACTGTCATTTTAAATTTAAAAAAAAGAAAAGTTAATTGTTTTCCATGGTTGAGGTAATGATTTATTCTCTTAATAAATATTGCATTGCTCATATTTTAAATTGCAAGTCTAATTTTTCTTTTAAGGTTATGTAGTTGTGTATAATGTAATTAGACAGGTGCTTATTTTTTCCTTAAAATGTGCTTGAAAAGTGCTTATAGGTGCTTATTTTTTTAAACTAAAATGTGGCTACGAGCATTCAGTATCAAGGGCTGCTTTGTGATAAAACATCTGAGAACAGACCATATTGGGTCTTGTAAAAATTACTCTAAAATGGTACGAATCTTTGTAATGAACCCCACCATCCATTTCTTACTATCTTTCAATTCTCTAGACTTCAGAAACATCAGTAAATCAAATCTAATGCTTGATGGAGGGCAAGCTTGTACAGAAACTGAATGTCTTATGCACACTGTGCAAAAAAAAAAAAAAAAAAAAAAAAAAAAGCAGTTCTATATCTCCCATTCTACTGGGCCAATTGATGAAATTCAAATTTTGTTTTTCATATCTCAAGCGAGATTTCGGATATATATTAGATTTATATATAGCATTATTCTAACATAGGTATTTTGACACAAAATCAGACTTTTTCTGAAATAACATCTCGCATAAACTACACTACAAAAATCTATTCTCTCAGTAATTATCTATATTAATTATAAGTTAAATCTTAATTTGGAATACAAGTACAAGAATTGTTTCAATTCGTACGAATAGCTTACTCAGAAATTATGTAAAACCGCAGTTCTTTACTTTGCTAGTCCATTCTCATCAGAATTGATGAATTTAAACCTTAACTTTGCCTTTCCTATATTTTCGCCTTCGGGTGAGCAGTGTGATTTCACCCTAATTGACTTAATTACCTCAAATGGCCTTAGGGCATAAAATGGAACTATCTGGTAAAAATTGTATGTAATTGTATACCAGTATTGAAAGAAACAATCAATCTGATAAGAAATCGTCCGACGTGTTTTGAAAATGAGGAGTAAAAGGTTACCAGTGAGGATATTCCATTTGGCATCGGATGTTCCATTTTTGGTGACTTTATTGCTTGCGCCAGAAAAATGGAAAAGTACCAAATTTTGAGAGCTTATTTTTTAAAAACTACTCATGTGGTTTTTACAAAACTTGGCATTTTGGCATAATTTGAGTCATAGAATCAAAATACAGATAAAAAATTGTCATGTCCTTCCAGAAAAAGCCCGATTTTGTGTCAAAATACCTACATTAGAACAATGGTATAGATAAATCTAATACATATCCTAAGTATCATGAAAAACGCAATTTGAATTTCCTCAATCGGCTTAGTAGAATGGGGGATATAGAACTGCCCCCCCTTTTTTTGGTGCAGTGTACATCTATTTTTAATGTATAAAAACAGCGTTGAAACTATGACAGCCTGTACAGGAACACAAAGCATCAAGTAGTTCTTTATCTCTAACATTTATTATATCGTTTTAAGCTTACATAAAAAAAAAATCCTAGATTCATCCATCATTATTTTCTGAAATCTGACCACATCTCATAATATTCATCCATCATTATTTTGAGACGTGGTCAGATTATAGAATGGAATATTTGAAGATCTGCAGCTGATGCTTGAGGGCTGAGAAGAGTCGTTCTCTTTTGCTTCAAGATAGCTTTTTGTTGTAGTTATAAACTAAGTAAAAAATTAACGATTTTCCTTTAATGTAAAAAACATGTTGACTCTGGTTCTCTTTTGATCTTGCCCGAGTATATTCATTACAGGAGATGACTACCAAAATTTATTCCTAGATATACTTAAGGCCCTTGGTTTAATCCATTTGGGGTGCTGTCATCTATAGACTTGAATCTGTGCGATTCCCAGGTGACATCATAAGCCATAAATGCCTATTTTAGAGGTAGGTACTTTATGATAAACCACTTCATTGCACTTTCTGCATTTCATGTCATTCAAGCTAACTCAACAAAGTTTCTTGTTAGGTGCACATTTTCCAGTGTGTATGTGAGTAATATACCTTGTTGTTGACTAATGCTCACTTGTCTGACCTATAGTCAGCCCAAGCCCACGGAATTCCTCATGGAAAGGAGCGCAAGAGTACGCCTGTCGTTGGCAACAGCGTTGAGCACCTTACAGGCGACAGTGGGACTTAGCTCAGTTCTGGCCCTCCAAGTTTGATAGAGAGTATCCCAAGGGGATGGGTCCGAGGGTCTCCCACCCCTCTTCCTCTACCACCAACCTCTCGAGAGGACTTTCGGCTCGCCACTTATTTAGAATGTCCCTATGCCGCATGGATACTTATACATATACAAACATCCATGCCTTCTCCGAAATTCGAACCCGGGCCCTTTGGAACAGCAGTTAACGACGCTACCACTATAACAGTTAGGCGGCTTATATAATACCTTAGATATATGTATCAGACTTGCTACGTATGCTGAAGTCATTGCTATCTTAATTAATTTAATTAATCTTTATTGTGGATTTTAGTCTGCATAAGCATCATGACATACATTATGTAGTGCAGCATCTGCTCAATAGATAGAAAATGTATAAGGATAACGTGAAAAGTTCTCGGTCTGACAATGAAAGACTGTGACTTTCAGTTAAAAAATTATTTTATTTTTCTACATTATCTCCCGTGACTTCAACACACTTGGTCCAGTGTTTCTCTAACATCAGTATTCCTTCCCAGAAGTGAGAGTCTGGAACGTTATGAAAATGACTATGACCTTCTTCTTCATTGGATGCAAAGCGCTTCTTATAAACAAATTTCTTCAAGTTTGGGAACAGATGGAAATCTGAGGGTGCCAAATCAGGGGAATAGGGAGGATGACCGAGCAAATCGTACCCCAGATTCCGTAGTTTTTCCATTGCCACCACACCGTTGTGAACAAATGCGTTGTCCTGGTGAAAAAGGATTTTTTTTTTGTTCATGTCAAGCTCTTCTCGTGAATCTTGACATCCAGCTGGTCAAGAAGGTTGGAGTAATGTTTAATGTTCGCCTGTAATTCTTCTGCCTTTTGCAAGGTAATCCATTAACAGGATACCTTTTGCATTGCAAAACTCATCCCAAACTCGCATCTGCTGGCCATGACCTTTCCAGCAGATGCGATAGACTTCACTTTCTTGCTTCTACCCATTGCTTGAACTGCTGAACATTGCTGGCATGTAGTGATGGACTCATAACTCATCCTTGGTGACAAATCAGCGCACCAAATTGGTTGGATTTTTGTTGAATCGGTCCAAAGATTGGTGCAAAAATCGTTTGCACTTTTGCTTTTGATCAGCATTCAGCAAATGCGGCACCCATCTTGGGCAGAGCTTTTGTATCCCTAATTCTTTGAGCAAAATGCTTCACACCCTTTCTTGCGATATCACTACAGCTTCAGCTATCTCACTTACCATCACTCGCCTATCGTCCAACACGATATCATGCATGTTTTTTATGGTTTTCCACTGTGGTTGCAGTTTTTGGACATCCCTCACTTGTGTTCTGCTGTCCTTCACGTGTGAATATGCGACCATTTTTAAATTCAGCTGTCCACATTTTAATCTTTGACATGGAAGGAGCAGACTCCTCATCAACTTTGGGGGAATTTCCTTAGGGGTTGATCCATCAAAAACGAAGGATTTTATGACTGCACGTATTCAAGTTTACACATTTTAATGCATAACACGCAAGACGTTTTCTGCGAAAATTCGTGTAAACAAACTACTTGAGAGAAGAAGTCGAAACTGGTCATACAAACTAATGACACATGCACCCAGGCAGGAAACATAAATTTTTGCTGATTGGAGTGCCATCTCTGGGCCAGGTCGAGAATTTTACACTTTAGCCTCGTAAACAAATCTCTTGCAATAGCATCATCTGGGACAGCATTGTTCATGTTATAATGCATATTTTCACTTTTTGACATAGTCTCATTTTAAAAAATGGGCATTTGAGGGAAAATGCATGGGTTTTTTAAATCGAAACATACCACTGCCGCGAGCAATATATCAGGAGCAAAGAAAGCTGCAACTGAAAAACCAAGTTATGAACATATTTATACTTTAAGATATAAACTCTATAATATATATACAAACATGTTTATACCCTGTAAGTTATATACCCTATATTTATAACAAACATATATTTATACTTAAAGATATAAACTCTATAATATATATACAAACATGTTTATACTCTGTAAGTTATATATCCTATATATATACTGAACATATTTATACTCTGTAATGTATATTTATACCCTTAGGTTATACATATGTTCGTAACTTGGTTTTTCATTTGCAGATTTCTTTGCTGGTGATGAAGAAGGACTTTGTTTGCCCTCGAAATCGATAGAGTTTCTATGCTAAAAATCTATGCCTAACATAGGTTGTTGCTTCACTTTTATGATTCCATTTACTAGTTTTAAATAGAGTCTGATGTGAATTAATCACTTCATATATTATTCAGATATTTTGTTGAAGTATTGAAATAAATAAATTTACCTTATAAGCTTATTTGCAGAATACAAATTATTTGTTAGAATCATGTTTATTTCATGTATTTGTAAGTTATATTTTGTTAAAATCTTCTTCACAATTTCTTTTAAAAGCCTGTAAATTACAATAATTCATCTTACTGAGAGGAAGGGATTTGTGTAAACATCTGTTAGATAGTCGGTCACTTCTTAAATCTGTCCATACAGGAAAAAATTATAATGTAAATTTTAAAAATGTTCAAGTAGTTGATACATTATAAAAAATGTAACTGTTTATACCTTTTTGCTTTCAGAATAACATTAATCAATATTCTAGACTAAAATAAGTGGTTAGTCTTTGGATTATGGTAACTTGGAGATTTGTTGGCAAAAATGTGCTACAGCAACCTGCTACAGCAACCCTGCTACAGCAACCTGCTAGTTTTTCTTTGGACGCCATTTTGTTTTCACGAAGTAAAGGCATGTTTTTTTTTTTTACTCAACATTTTTTTCCAACAATCTGCTAGCCGAATTACGCTTATGCTACAACTTTTATGGAACAAAAGTGCTTAATCATGACGAAGATTAGGTGGGAAATTGGGACAAAGTGCAGAATCGCCCACTGCTTGCCGCATTTTTACGAATTTCACATACACGGGTATCATCCATGTACACGTCAACATATTTTCACTTAAAAACTGCTAAAGTCCTAGCTAGTAACCTTTATCGCCTTACCAAAATGTCACCAAACTACCTGTTACCATATTCCAAAGATCAGCCGAATAATTATTCATAATAATAAGCATACATTATTTTTCTTTGATCATACCTTTCTTACCAATCTTTTGTATTATTTCTTCATTATTACTATTGAAAAATAAATTATAATAATTAGAGCATTTAGTATTAAGCTCATATTTTTATTTTTATGTACAGTATTAAGTGTTATTTTCATGTGCTAAATTTTGTTTTTATAGATCCAGATCTAGGAGCAGAGATCGACATCGACACAAAGACAGAGATCGTACAAAAGATAAGAACAGATCCAAGGATAAAGATAAATCTAGAGACAAAGAAAAATCTAAACACAAAGAAAAATCTAAAGATAAAAATCAGTGAGTATCAATATTGTATAATTTAAAATGTATTGAATTTTGTTTTTAACTTAAATATATCTATACAATGAGTTATAAAATGTTTTCCTGGTATGTAGCAAATTAATTTTAAAATGTGTGCAAGAAAGAAAATTACTATTTAAATTCAAGTAAAATATTTAATTATATGTAATTAGAGGTTGAGGCTCACTCAAACCTGTAAATTATTTAAATGTGTATCTTGTAATGAATAATTGCAATGAGGAAAAAATGAACTAATCCTTTGTGTTTTGGGATCAATAAAAATAGCCTTACCAAGCAAAAATTGCCTATATATTAAAATTATGGTGAGAGGAATTTACTCTTTCACATGCTGATTTAGAATTGTACATCTTAGAAGTGAAATATCTGTTTTAATTTTTCTTAAATATTTCCATAAAAATAAAATATTCACATTTGGTAATATTACAGTTTAATTTTGTACTAGTCATCATATAAGACAAAATTAAAAACTCCTGTTCTACTTTTCCCACCCACAAATCCCTCCCCGCTTGTTCTACTTTTTTCCTTTAAGAATCATTTATTATCCTCAGTCTTGAAATGATTTATAGGGTTAATGTTTTATTATATATATATTATTTTTCTTGAAAGATGTGCTGTTTCAGTAATTTTTGTGTAAATTATGATTGACCTTTATTATTAGCATTAAATGCATGCAGCTCCATGAATAGTTGAAGTAATGTATAAGAATTTATAATTTTATTAGCACTTCATTTGCATTATCAGTCATTTACATTTATTGTAGGAAACTATCAATTTTTTTACAATATTCATAAATGTTTTTCCGATAGTTTAATTGTAATAAGAACTGTCATAATTTGTTAATGCATTTATTTGAAATGAGAATGAAATCTAGAATCGAAATGAACATTTATTATAATAATGATGTGAAGATATTAAATAGCAAACTAAAGCATACTGGTACTTTTCTAATCTCTTTTTTCTTTATCTCTTTAAATTAATAAGAAACTGCTAATAATGGGTATGGCAAAGGAATTTATTTCATGAGAGTATGAGAATTAGGATGTATAGATAAAATTGGCAGGACCCATTTAGAGATCTGAGTTTATCTTCTTATTAGGCTTTTTGTAAGACATTAAGACTTAGAAATACTAAGGTACAAAGAAAAAAAGATTATAAAATTTAATCAAAAATCAGATTATGGCCAGAGTACAGAAGGATAAATGTGACTAAGAAATCTAATTAAACATCAGATTACGTAGAGATTTTTCACTTCCATGAAAATCTGTTTTTATTATTAACCAATCGTAAACTCAACAGCTTTAAAAAATTTGATTCTTTGGTTATAGTTTTCCTGTTTCACATTTAGTATTTCATTTTCTATTATGATTGCAGAAGCTTTTCCTAACTTTCTCCTCCTGTGTTTATGCATCAATATGTGATTTTCATTTTCTAGGTTAAATTCTTTAAGCAGCTAAAGAGAAAGGTTATAGTCAGATCTTCAAAATGGCTGCTGCTTACATTTTTGCAATTCTTATTGCTCTTTTTTTTTTTTTTTTTTTTTTTGTTTTGTTTAGTGTGACTTTTATGTGAAAATTGAATGGAGCTGGAATATTTTGCTTTTGGTTGATATTTGATATAAAGATTATTTTTAACTAAAATTATATATAATTGAAATTAATGAAAAGTCTGGTAATATTAAAATGGAAATCATATTTGATGTTGCAAGTGTTAAGGTTTTATTATTATAAATTTATAGTCTATTTTCTTTCAAACCCCTGCTTTAAAATATGAATATCTTTTTATCTCATCATCAGTGTGAAGAGTGAAGAGGATGAAGATGAAAAGAAAGAAGAAAAAGTAAAAAAAGAACCATTATCTTTAGAAGAATTGAAGGCAAAAATGCAAGCGGAAGAAATGGCACGAAGCAAAGTATGTCATTTTATTTTCTACATATTCTTTTTTATGATAATGTATTATTTTAAATTTTCTATTTAGAGGTATATCTATATACTTAGTTGGTCACATGAAAAGTATATGATTGAAAACTATACTTTTAATTCATTTTCTTCATTGCTACAGTAAATTAGCAGTATCTGCAGTATGACTATATTTTTACCTGGATGTGTTTGCTTTCATTAATCAAAAGTTAGTTTATGCTTAATACTGTAACATTTAACATGTCTGAAAAATTATTTATAGCAGATTCTTTTATCCCAAGTATAACTGAGAATTAGTAATAATTTATAGCAGTTTTTTTTAATGGTATATCACTAGGCAGTCATCATAAGTTTTCTCATTTATTTTGGATTATCTAATTTTTGCACAAATTTCAATAACAGTCAAAAATGAATAAATATTTTATATTCATGACAGCATTTCATAATTATTAAGTAGAAGCAATGATGGAATAATTATGATCATCAGAACTATGTGTAAGAAAAAGGTTATATGTAGTAACAATGTTTTCAAAAATGGCTTAATTACTATTTACAGTGTTTTGTGTTTATCTGTATTTCTCATTTGTTCTACCTAAAATAATTATAATAAATGTATATTCAAAATAAGTAATTAAAAGTAAATTAAAAAGCCTATGACTTGAACTAAAGCTCAAAAGTAATAAACAAATAATTCATAATAATTTATAGTACGAAAACTTTCCATATAAATAAATAAATACTAATTTAATTTCATTAATTCAAATTAAAATTAATTCAAAAAATTTTATCATTCATGGTTTTAAATTGAATTTATATTCCTTGAAGCTGGTATATGAAAAGTTTTTTTTATATAATTATTATATATATATGATTACAAAAAATTTTAATTAAAATTACGAGCATATAATCATGCCTAGTATTTTGCATTAAGTTGCTGAAAAATTATCAGTAAATATATTATCAGTAAATATGTCAATAAATTTAGAACTAATTCTATACAAAGACCAAAAATTTTAATTCAGAAGTAATAAATTTCAAAACAATCCTATAAATGTATGAAATAATTTAATAAAAGTTAAAACTAAAATATTTCAAAGAAGTAAAACCCTAATTCAGAAAATTATTGAACAAAAAAGAGTATAAAAGAAGAGGAATTCGTTCAACTTTAATGCCTCTTCAGGAGGAGGAACGTTGAAACTAATTATAATCTCTCTTCCATAAAAAAATCCTCACTTTTCTGTTTCCAGAATTAGCTGTGGAACCATTCCAATGTATTTTAATTATAATAGTTCACCCAAAAATTCTGGCTCCTCCCCAAAACGAGGGGAAAAAGTTAATTCATATAAAAGTTTACCTTGAAACAATGAGAACTCTATCCAACGAATTGAAATATATAATAATTTAAAAAAGTCCATCTAATGTAATTTTCTGAAAATATCCAATGCTTTTAATTAGATTTAAATGTTAAAAAAATATATTATTAAGAACTACATTTGTTGTTTTTAAAAGTTGAATATTTTACATTTTACTAAATGGCAGTAACATCTGTGTGAAAGCTAAGAATGCTTTATTTCTGGCAATGGTAATACATTGCTTTCAAATACCTGAACTGAATAAAACTGAAATTTAATTATCTTACATGTTATTGTCTTTTAAATCAGTGGTCTCAGACTCAAATTGCATGCAAGCCGAATGCAGAGTCTGGAAACAACTGACGGGCCAGAATTTTTTTTTTCTGCTAAATAAACATTTTTTATAAAAAAAATAAAAATATTTTAACTTAATTCAGCTTAATAAATATTTATCAGAGCATCAATAAGCAACAATAATAATGATGATGATGCAAAGAAAAAAATTCAAATTTTTATTTATTTCTCTCTGAAAGTTTGGTATTGCAATACATTTCTTGGTCACATTTTATAATTTAAATATACTGATATCTAAATATTCATTTTTAAGACAGAGACATTTATTTCAAATAAATCTAATATGTTTTATTAATCATTAAATAACTTTAATTCAAACTGTAAATAAACAAATTATGAAAACTTTCCATGTGGGATAAAATTCAAGGATAAATAATGAGTACCTAGTCTCTTTCTGTTATTTATTACACTTTTTCCTTGCCAAATAAATTAAAATACATATATTTATATATATTTGTATATAATAATTATAAACTTCTTTATTACAGTTTAGTACTGATAGCATTTTAATTCTGATAAAAGTTTTGGTCTTGGAGAAAAATTACTAGAAATTTTCTTCATTGTGGGTTGTAGACAATAATCGGTCAGTTGGGTTTCTTTTCTGAATTTTAACTTTGAAACAATGCTGTTCAGATATAAATGTATTCCAAAATAAAGCAATTATTCCTAGTGTAGCAATAAGTAACTGAATGTATTTATATTTTTAAGCATGTGAATAAAAGTTAATCAAATCGATATCTTGAAATCTTTGAATAAGATTTATGTCACATTGTAAATTGATTAGTTCAATTTATAGAATTTCATGTGCATTATTCACTTTTGTTTTTAATGGTAATGAAAATAATGTAAACTCAGTCTTCAAATAATTAAATTCTTGAAATCTTTGCAACATTGTATTCGAAACAAGTACATAACTGAAATATCTTTATGAGCTGCACAAAATTGCTTTGCAAGCCATCAGTTTTTACAGTTTAAAGGAGTACAGTATAGCAAAAATCATAAATGTCAAAATCCTGGAATTTAGGAGAGACACTCGAGAGCAGAATTTAAAGGTGGCAAATTTTTTAGAATTTAGGACTGTCGAATATTGCAGCGAGCAGCAAAGTCCATAGCACCAACCCTACCCCTCCAGCGACCACTCAAGGCCAAAAGCATGATGGTATCTTCTGTGTAAACCAATGTACTGTTATTGGCTAGATGCAACTCCCTAGCAAGCAGGTGTTTGAAAGTGACATGTAGGAATCTGACAGGAGAAAAATCTCCTACATAGTATATCTGCTCCCCCCTTTTTACTTCCTTGTACAAAGTAAAAAGGAAGTATTGTAATTGCGAAAAGTTTCAGGCAGCATATTTCAACGAAAATATCCATTTTGACCGCTATCGAATGCAGTTTAACGATGTTTTTGCGTGATATCTGTACGTAAGGACAGAATAAAAGACTCCTTTCCTCCAAAAAAATTATAAACTGCTTTAAAATGAATTCTGAAGAGAATTTTTCATGGCGTCTGTACGAACGTATGTATGTACATGCGTACGTATCTCGCATAACTCAAAAACGAGTAGCCTCAGAATGTTGAAATTTTATATATAGGACAGCTATAACATGTAGATGTGCACCTCGTACGTTTGGCAATCGGCCACACCAAACGTATATAAATATATTTATATATATATCCACTCTGTTACCCGGCTCAGTGATCTCAGTTTCTTTACTCTTATATGTTTATAAATTGTACATTTTTTTGCTTTAAAAATGATTGAATTATGTTGTTTTTTTCTTCCGGTTAAGGTTTTTATGCCTTTAGTAAATCTCTATGCAATATTTTTAGAATTATCAAAAATTTTAGTCGTCTAAGTGCCACTAAGCCTAATCCTCTTCTTGATGGCGGCCATTGTTTGTTTACATTTGAAACAGCAGACTAGTGGATTTGTTGCCAATCTAGAGAAACGTAGCTTCGCAGCAACAAAGATAATGCCTTCATTTATTATTTTCAATTAAATCATGCTTAATCCTTTCTGGAATTTTTTCGAGGAAATAAGTATTTAAGATTTACTTCGTAATTTTTAATATAGATATTTTGAGTTTTTGTGTGTTTTTGCCTTCTCACGAAGTGAGAACTGAATTAATTGAATGAGAAATACTCAATCGTCTGTGAAAAACTGTTTCTTTTTTGTTTTGTTTGCTTAATTGCTTTTGTACATCGTTCTAGCTTTTTTTATAGTATTTGAACAGAACATGTGGCAACGATTAGATAATGCTATTCTTTAAATGATATAAATTTTGTGCATTATGAGTTATAATATGAACAGACGGCGGCACAGGAGCCTCCGTCGCTACTAATCTCTGAGTTCTAGCACAGCATGTGTACAAGTACTTCCATATTATTGAATACAACTTACTCGATTCTTCAAGCATTTAAAAGTCAAGTATCATATATTGGTAAAGGCCGTTAATGGTCGATTGCCTCTTACTAAGTGATAAGACATAGACATAGTTATAATATGAACGAAATATAATATTGTTAAGTGAATCTAGTGCCAGAGTGTCGCTATGGTAAACAAATACTAGAGTGAATTTTAAGAAATGCATTTATTCTATTGTGGTTTATGCTCTGTCGGCGAAGTAGATTTAATTCAATCCAATAAATTTAAATGAAATGCAAGAAAAAATGCGTATAATTTAATATTCCGTACAAGGAAGTCATGTGGTGTACACATCAGATTTTTTAGTACTATATTCTCCATTCTTAGATTTAATTAGAAAATTTTTTTTCATTGTTTTATTTATTTTAGTTTATTTATTTCTTTTTTGGCTAGTAGTCTGGCTTTTAACATCTGGATTATGTTGTCTCCTAGGAAAATTCTATCAGTTCATTGAAAATGTCTATAAAATGTTGCAAAACCCCTTGGAGATGACCTCTGTGTGAAGAAGCAAATTGTAACTTTCATCACTGTGCTCACATAGTTATGCAAAAAAGACGGCCTTTCAGAGCTATAACTTTGATGGTATTTATTGCTTTGGTGAATAGCTTTAAAACTGCATAAAGCTCGTCCTGAATAATTTTTGCAACTACACACTGTTACCTTTGCAAAAAACAACGAAAAATCTGAAGGTTAGGCATGTGAATTTTGGTATCCTTGATATTTTCCAACTATTGTTGGTGCACCATCATAATTGTTTTTTTTTTCATGCCTTCTTATAAAACTGGTGTTATCAATTAAAGCACCATCTTATTTACGATTAAAAAAAAAAGAGATTCTTGAACACATGTAAACTTCACAACCATGCTTCAATGTACTGTCATGAATTTTGTACATATATAGATAATTTGAGTGAAATTGTATATTTTCTATACATGGAAATCAAAAGTTCCATGCACTGTAACATGGAAATCTAAAGAAACGATGCTCTGCTGGAAAAACAAGAATGACTAATTTTTTGTTGCCAAATTTGGTGACGTCAAAGATTGTCAAACCTGGCGACCATTTCGCAATGTTTTTGTCCAACCCCTGTATAACTGTAATGAGTGTTGTACCTGAATAATTTTAATTGATCCTCTATGTAGCTGTAATTGTATTTGGCTTTCATATGCCTTTCAGTAATTTTGAGAAGCAAAAAGTACTAGAAGTATATTGGCAGCTGGATAAAAACTATATAAGACTGGAGAGAGCATCAGTTTCTTAGTTGTTTTTTTTAGTAGATAGTTCAGAGTGAGTTCGGAGTACTGAGATATCTCTAGGTTAGCTTTGCCATTTAGAGGCACTCTGCATTGCATTGTGTTTATCATTATTAGTAGTTTGAAGTGGAACTACTGATTGTACTTTGATATTGTGAAGAATTGTACAACTATTTTTGTGGAAAGTTCCAGAACTGAGAAATGTTTCTTTTGGTAAATTGAATTTTATCAAGCTATCACTGATTTTGTGTGCATTCAATCTATTACAAACGTGTACACATGCAACAGTACTGTGACAAAAATGTGACGATCAAGAAGATCAATGTTCGAACTTCATACAGCTAGCGTTTCACTTAATTTTAATTGGAAAATATTCATGGGTAAAGACCAAAAACAATAATAGACTATTTGAAAAATGGGGAGTATCCTCTGGAAAATATGTGCTAGACCAATTAAAATAACCTATATCTTGAGAGAGCCACTTATATATGTAGAGAGTTTATCTGCTTCAGTGCTGCTAGTATCAATGGACACCATCTGTGGCAATCCTGTGAATAAAAAATGAATGTGAATTAAAAATTAATCAAGGAAGTAAAATTATAAAAAGAGATCAACCATGGTGATTGACTTTTGAGACGATTTTTCTGTAAAAGTATAGTTCCTAGAAAATTTAAAGTATATTCTGCAATTTGTACAAATTTTTCATAATTTTTACAAAAACTGCAATAATTTTAAAATTATGTTTTTATGAATTTTGTAATATATTTTGTGAAGGCAATAAAGTTTTTGCCAGTTTAGTATTTTGCCACTAGATATGTATTTAAAGCATGGTGTCGCACCAGAAACTCGGAAGAATATGAAACTTGCATAAGATCTTTATTTTGTATTACTTATCTTTAGAAATGCAGAACTACCTATTACTGCCCCCCCCCAAATAAAGAACATAGGAAATGTGATATAAAGTGAGGTAGAAGTTGGTGTTACAGTGTTTTAGAGGTAAACAGAAGAAAAAAGTTAATATGGTTATTCCTGATTGAAATGTGAATTATTACAATGATTGATCTTGTATTTTAGAATTGTTCCCTGTTATTTGGTGCATATCTGTTATAAATATCTCTGTTTTAAATTGTAATTATTTTTGTATTTAAATTTGAAATGTGTGTTCTTTTTTCGTTAAGCCTGTCTTCTTGACAAAAGAACAACGAGCTGCCGAGGCTTTGAAGCGGAGACAACAGGAAGTTGAGGAGCAACGTAAGCGAATGGAAGAAGAAAGGAAAATTAGACTTCATTTCATGGAAGAAGCAAAACGTTCTCTAGGTATATAAAGGAATTTTGATCATTCTTAGTGATTTTAATATATAAATGTATGATTTACTTAAGAAGATTTTTAATGTTTTATTTTGCATTAAGAATACTGTTCTGACAAATATTCAGTATATGGTCAATGGATAAAGTACGTCCTAAGAAATTAAAAATATTAAGTAAAATGGATAAATGTAACATGATGTAAAAATAATAAAAAATGTGTAAACCGATTTAATATAAGAAATGTATTTTTAACATTAGTACTGAAAAATGCCTAGGATAATGCAGAAGGTAAAAATATTTCTTTGCTATTTGCTACATGAGGGTTGGAACTTAAATAGGGACAATTATTTGTTTACAACTGCACAAAATATCTCAATTAAACTTTTTTTTAGTGTCTTTTGATCTGGTTACTGATGTGTAAATAAGGGATAAATATCTAAAATATGCTCAGTTACTGTACCTGAAGCCTATCAGATCAAGAACTAGGTATTTGAACTGATTGTCTATTGAACTCTTGTTTTATGGTGCCGGAATAACTGAAGCTATAATGATTGAAAATGGAACATTTTAGTGGATTAGAGAAGTTAAAAAGTAAAAGAAAAACTGTTTTAAGTACTTAACTAAAATTATGAATAAAATAAGTGATATGTTAAAGGAGGACAATATTGATTAAAATGATTTGGATTTAAAACATCAGATGTATCACCTAGATTCTATTATTGAAATCATTGTAAGTGATTTAGAAATGCTTCAAGCTGATGTTACAAATAAAAACTAGAAAAGTACTGTAAGCGTAAACATTTTGCAAAGCGAAAGTTAAAATTGATGCACATAGTGAATCCTCTAGAATTTTGGAAGAAGGGATAGTTACTAATTATTTTAATGTCAAAGTGCCAAAATTAAAAACAGAAGCTTTTAATAGCAAATAGGAAAACTGGCAAGGATTTGGAGGGACAGTTTGAAGATGCAATTTATGAGAATAAACAGTAGTCTAAAATTGATAAATTTAACTATCTAAAATCATTCTTAAAGGATTCTGCATTAAAATGTATATGATTCAGCTGTTGAATTATTAAAAGAAAATTTTGTAAAACCAGAATTATTGTACGTTGACATATAAACACACTGTGAGGCTGAACTTCTGTCAAATTATGTTTTAACTTAAAGCAACTGAGACAATTACAGGGCATAATTACTATTCAGATTCAAAGTCTCATAAAACAAAAGAATTCAATTAATCATTTAAAATAAAGTAGAAAGGCCTAGTTACCTGGTTCTTGATCTGATGAGCTTCAGGGATAGTAATTGAACCTGTTTTAGATATTAATCCTTTATTTACACAACATAATCAGAGACAACTTTATACTCTTGATGATGCACAACATTAACAAAATTTAAAAACAGTTATTGTGTATCAGCACCATCTACCTGTATTTCTTGACAGTCTGTTGCCTGAATAATCTCTGAAATAGTTTGTAAACAAATGCCATGAGCATGCATAGCCATTATTATTTCATCTTAATAATCAACCATAGTCACTTGAGTTTTAAGTCTTACAAGTTTGGTGAATGGTAGAGCATTACTCTTTCATGGGGTTGTCTATATATGCATATGTCTATATATATATATATGTATGCATTTGTGTGTATGTATGTATATATGTATGTGTAGCGGTGTTACCCCTATTAAAGTTCTACCCATGTGTATACATTAGTTCTTTTCTGTAAAGCTGATTAATAGCCATAGTGTTGGTATTACATGGAGGTTGCTTAAAATTCCTAAGTTATATGCTTCCAGTGTTATGCATTTAGGTATAAATTGCTGATTCTGTAGACATCAAATATTCTTCCTATAAATGAGTTTTCCAAAATCTCATTTAAAAAAAAAAACTGTCATTAAAAAAAAATAAATAAATAAAATAAACTTCATCAAGTCGAGAACAAAGAGGAAGAGCAAGACAACTGAGAGAAATCCCACTTTCTGACTAGAGACTGCATCGTAGAAATGGTTTGAATGTAAAAATATGTTATTCATTCGAACTGTGCAGTTGTTAGCACTAAAAATTAAAGTGTGTAAAAAATGTTAAAGGCCAAAGGACAGCTAAAAAAGTTAGAAATATTTCTAGTAATAGAATCCAAAGAAAAAAGTTTTGCAAGACATAGAAATGCATATTAAGTAAGTAAATATGTAAAAATATTTTTGAGTTATTTTTCCATATCTGGATAAAATTCTATGCATTTCCTTTTCATGTATTGTGTGTATTAAAAATTTTCCCCCTTACATATTTGTTATATAAAATAAACAAAAATAGTTTTTAAGTAATTTATTAGAGATCTATTTTTATTCTATATAAAAATGTAATTTTACCTTTAAGGAACCCTTCATTTTCAGTACTAGCTTTTAGTGTGGCCAGACACTTAACATAGTTATTATTAAAAAATCTGATGTGTACACCACATGACTTCCTTCTATGAAATATTAAATTATACGCATTTTTCTTGCATTTCATTTAAACTTATTGGATTCAATAAAATATACATCGCCGACAGCGCATAAACCACAATAGAATAAATGCATTCTTTAAAATTCACTCTAGTATTTGTTTACCATAGCGACACTCTGGCGCTAGATTCACTTAACAGTATTATATTTCGTTCATATTATAACTCATAATGCACAAAATTTATATCATTTAAAGAATAGAATTATCTAATCGTTGCCACATGTTCTATTCAAATACTATAATAAATAATAAAACTAGAATGATGTATTAAAGAAATTAAGCAAATAAAACAAAAAAAGAAACAGTTTTTCATAGACAATTGAGTATTTCTCATTCAATTAATTCAGTTCTCACTTCGCGAGAAGGCAAAAATACATAAAAACTCAAAATATCTATATTAAAAATTATGAAGTAAATCTTAAACACTTATTTCCTTGAAAAAATTCCAGAAAGGATTAAGCATGATTTAATTGGTAATAATAAATGAAGGCGTTATCTTTGTTGTTGTGAAGCTAAGTTTCTCTAGATTGGCAACAAATCCGCTAGTCTGCTGTTTCAAATGTAAACAATCAATGGCCGCCATAAAAAAAAAAGGCTTAGCGGCACTTAAACAACTTTAAAATTGTTGATAATTCTAAAAATATTGCATACAGATTTACTAAAGGCATAAAAACCTTAACCGGAAGATAAAAACAACATAATTCAATCATTTTTAAAGCAAAAAATGTACAATTTACAAACATATAAGAGTAAAGAAACAGATTACTGAGCCAGGTAACAGAGTGGATATATATATAAATATATTTATATACGTTTGGTGCGGCCGATTGCAATCAAAATACGAGGTGCACATCTACATGTTATAGCAGTCCTATATACAAAATTTCAACGTTCTGAGGCTACTTGTTTTTGAGTTATGCGAGATACGTATGTACGTACGTACATACGTTTGTACAGACGCCACGAAAAATTCTCTTCAGAATTAATTTTAAAGCAGTTTTATAATTTTTTTTTTCAGGAAAAGAGTCTTTTATTCTGTCTTTACGTACAGATATCACGCAAAAACATCGTTAAATTGCATTTGATAGCGGTCAAAAATGGAAATTTTTGTTGAAATATGCTGCCTGAAACTTTTCACGATTACAGTACTTCCTTTTTACTTCGTACAAGGAAGTAAAAAGGCAAAATATATAATCGTCTAGCTAGTGCCGTTTCTTATAAATATTTTTATTTAGTCTTCTCATGATTTAAATGCATTTTTATTTAAATCAGTCAGAATAAAAAGCAGAAAAAATATTCTTAAGAACTGCATTTATTGCTTTTAAATTGCATAGTTTGTAGCTGAATATCAGACAGATTACATTTGAAAGTTTAAAATATGTTATGCTCTACTGAAGGACAGCATGCTGGCACATAGAAGATAAAAAGTATTTTATTTCAGGTAGTAGTACCACATTGCTTTTAAATAGTGAAGTTTGTTAATTGAAATTGAAAGACTAATATCTCACCTTTTGGTAGAATGGCTTGTTTCCTGTATTAGAAATAAAAATGTTTTATTTTGAACATTGTTGCCACTGTTCACTATCAGATCACGGAATTTATTAATAAAAAATGTGTTCAAATTTTGTGGTTCTAAGTGCTGTCATTTTCCTCAGTGTTGAAACAGTTATTGTTGAAATAGAACAAATATAAACAGAACTGAAATATAAAGAGTTCTGAAAATAGAACAAACATAATTACCAACAGATTCTTCATTATTTAACAGTAGAGATAACATGGATGAACATGGGTAATCTTATGATCCAATTTTAATTCTGGCTTCATCCTCTGTCTTATAATAAGGGATCATTGTACTTACTAAGTAAGAGTGATAAATGCCAGACAATTAAGCGATTTTTCTCTCCTATTATTATTATATGATATTAAGATTATAACAAAGTAGGATCCAAAGAAATTTTTAAAAAAATGCACAAAATTATGTAATTCTGTATGTCATTTTAAATTAGTAATTTCTGTTAAATATTAAATTAGTGTTATGCAGTGCATTTTGATCTGACTTCAAATGTAGAAAGTGCAAAATAAAAAAAAATGAGTTACAGTATATGTGCAAGCATAATATAATAATTAGTTTTTTTTTTTTTTCATTTTTCTCAGCCAACTTTAATAAAGCTTTAAGTATGTTGCACGACTAAATCACTGTAGTCCTTTTGTTATTGGTACTTCGTTTTGATGTTTGTGGCAGTCATCTTCAAACTATGTTGAAATATTTTACATCATTTTATGGTTAGATTTTTTTTACTATATTCCATTATCAAACACTTATCTGTCAAAAATGTATTATATTTAGTCATTCAAATTTTTGTGTGTATTTGTGTTTTGAATGTTTTCTGACTTGAAAGAAATTCAGTTTCCTAAACATTGTGGTGCTCAAAATGTCAGTTTCTAAAGTCTATCTCTTTGTATTTATAGAAAATGACAAAGAAAGAGAAAGACGTGAAAGAAGAGAAAAAAGAGAGGCAGAGGAAGCATCAGCCGCCGCAGCAGCCGCTGCTGGACCCGGTGGTGTTCCTACAGAATCTGATAGAGACAAAGTTAGAGAAATCAAAGACAAAGAGAAGGAATTAGAAGCAATTCGTGTAAGTTATCAAATTTTATAAATAAATGAATAAGCCACAGAGTACTTTAATTTCATGTTAAAAAATGATAAAATTCTTGTATTAACATGATTACATTTTTGCAGATAAATAAAAATTAGGTAGTTTTTTATACATGCATCTGTCATAAAAGTGTAAACTGTTCTTTCCACAGGAAATTATAGTTGTCAGATTCCAACAGGAAGAATTTAAAATTTAAAACCTGATTATTTTTTGCACATAATATGCATAAATAAAATTATTGTGAAAAAATTTGAACTTTATTTCTATTTCAAGTTCTATATCTCAAAGGTTAAGGAAATATTGTTATATTTCTTATGTTTTTATAAGCTTAAAATCTGTTACTGGATCAGGTACTTGCATTGCAGCCGCTACTGCGAATTTTAGTTTTGCATTATGATTAATTTGGTGACTATCTGGATTCTATTGATTTTTGTTGATAATCGAAATTGCTGGCTTTGTCTCTTATCCTCTTCTTAGTGCAGAAAATTCTCCCATGTAATTGCTCCAATCTATTCTTGTTTTATCTGCCATTTCCATTTCTTCTTAACAAAATTTGCTTTCACTTACTGTTTGTGCCAATAGAAAACAGATCCAAACCAATTGGAAATTACTGTATCAATTTCAAAAGCTTCAATCTTTCTAAATTTTATAGTCTTGGAATGTTCATTTGAATTAGTAATCCATAATATTTTTATTTCTTCTCTCGCATAACTTAATTGGTTTTTATTTAATCCATGTTTCTGCCCTAAATCTCTCAAACTAAGCTTTTCAATTTCTACTCCATGAATTACAATGGCTTTATGTTTTAATTTTAATTTTTTCCTTTTTGAAGCCCATGCTAAAAGTATGTAAAAATAATACACAACTGCAAAACTATAGTTCTTTTGCTCCCCGGTGAACTAAAAATGACAGTGTAAGATCCCTGTATCTTGGCAAGTGGTAAAGTCATCTGACAATCTTTTCTTTCCCGTTGGTCCCTGTTTTAAATTGCCATACAACTTTCTTCCTCCTTCTGAGAACTGTAGCTATGAATGTAAAATATTCTTTTGTTTGCACCACAACTTGCTTTTTCTCAATATATTCTTTCCTTTTTTCCTACTAAAAAGCAGTTTTCAAATGAGAGAGATTAATTTTTCATTAAACTATCTCTCACTAAGCACAAACTTGCTTTTGAAACCTCAAAAGATTGCTAACAAAGTGTATTCCTATTTTTACTTTTTTATCTATATTCTAACTTATTTTGAAGCTTTTTTTCAGTCTCTCTTAAATGAAGTGTCCCTTAATATCCCTTAATTATGAAGGAAATACATTAAAGTCCCTATTGAAAGAGATGGGACCAACAGACTTTAAGGAAGTGTAAACATGCATAACAATTAATATGTACTTTTGATATTGCAGGAAAGGTATTTAGGCTTGGTAAAGAAAAAAAGACGTGTTCGTCGATTAAATGATAGAAAGTTTGTGTTTGATTGGGATGCTTCTGAAGACACAGCTGTGGATTATAATCCCATTTACAAAGAAAGACACACTGTGCAGTTTTTTGGTCGAGGACATGTTGCTGGTATAGACTTAAAGGTATTAATGCAATAATTGTATCTAAATCATGTCTTTTCCTATTTTTCTTTTTTATTTATATCTTATTTTCTGCAGCTCATATAAATAAAAAAATATGCTTTTTTTATCTTAAGCATGTTTTTAGTCATTTTTAATAGTTTAATTAAAATAATGTCAAAACATTTTACCGAATTACATGATATATTTTGAATTTTATTAGGGTTAAAGAAGTGAAATAGAATAAAAATTGATATTCAAGGATTTCTAAAGAAATAAGATAAAAATTATGTTCTGTTAACCTCTTCGCGCCGACTGTCACATCTACATGCCAGCAACGAACACACTCACATACCGGCCGACACGCAGGCATGCCAGAGCATTTTCCCGCTGAGCGCCGACTGTCACGTATTTGTGCCAGTATCCTGGAACGTTTTCAGAACTATAATTTCTGCCACAAGATGGCACTGTATGTCCATATGGTTTCAGATACATGTACATTAGACCTTCTACTCGAAATGAGAAAAGCATGACTCACATACACGTGTTTTTGATTATATAAACAAACGGGGAAATAAATGTTTCCGAATGGCGTGATTTATGATATCTCTTTAAATCGCACTTTATTCGCACGTGGTAGTTGTTTATTATAAGTAGAAGTTTTATATGCGCTAAAGCGTTGAGTATTTCGATTTGCAGTTCAGTTTTTACAAAATAATTAGATCTTGTTAGACGTGAATTCTTTCTGTTTTTACCGTTGTCGAAGTTGAAGTCGTTGTCGTCGTCAATGTCGAAGTGTCGAAAATGTTTAACAGAGCATGAAATAGCAGAAATGATGCAAAATATTTCAGATATTGATTCTGAAATTCTGATATTCTGATATTGATTCTGAAAGATTAACTGAAAGACATTTTCCAAAACTTTGTTCAGAAGAGACTGATAAGAAAATGAGACGACGATGCTTCGTTTGTTCACATTCCCGGAAAAATCCTTCAAAATGGCAAATGAGTTATTACGAGTGCAAGGAATGTAACGTAGGACTGTGTGTAGATCCCTGTTTTCAAATTTTTCATACAGAAAGAGAATTTTAAGTAATATATTTAGTTTTCAGATGTATAATGTTAAAAGTCATAAAATGGTGAGTAATGAAAATAAAATGTGTAAAATATGCATTTAAACAAGGAATAAGGTAATTAAAGTATATAGTATAAAAATATCTATAAAGCATAAGCCGTTTAAATACTCTATAGAGCATTGCTAAACAATGCGTTGATACTTCAGAAATTTCATAAATTTAGGCTTAGTAGCAAAAAACCCCCCGGCCCTGGACAGACGCTCGCGTAAGACATTGCCGGCCTCCGCGATAAGCACGCGTTTGCGCTACCCGGCTCGAAAGGGTTAATGTTATAATAAAATTTTCTATATGTGTACGATAAAAACAAGAGTGGATAGAGTCATTTTGGATTGAATTCTATATTTTGCAATTTCTTACTGGTTTCAAAGTAATAAAAATAGTAAGATATCATTTAAATAAAGGCATTTACCAAAATATTTCCTATTGGCTTTAGTGTTCATCTTCTAATAACTACCATAATCAGACTTTCAGTTTGCAAATCTCAAAAATCACTTTATTACCCCCTTTTAAATTTAATTTCTTATTACTAAAGTACTTTATCTGAAAACATGTCCTTCTATTATCTGAACTTTAGAAGTTTATAAATACAAAATACTGTGTAATATGATAAAGCTCTTCAACCATTTGATTGTGATGGCAGAGTAGGTGTTGAATCATTGGGAAGATGTATTGATCTTTTATGTCACTGCTAAGGTAAAATACATAGCTTCTATAAAACCATTCACACATCAGAGAAGAAATCATAAACTTCGTAAATATATTGCAAAAGCTATTAGACAAGATTCAGTTAAAAACTTTCTGGAATAGTCATTAAGTGACTACAGTACAAAGTCCGAAATCTGGACTTGTCGGGACTTCGGTGATTCCTGATTTGGGATTTTTCCGGATATTAGATCATCAGTTAAAATCTAGTAAGATGGCATGTAGAAATTATAAAATTAAAAATATGAAATCGTGATTTATGAAATAGCAAAGTATTTATTATCTAAAGGGTATCAAAATTTACAAAAAAAGCTTAATATTTATTTGTTTACCTTATTAAACATTTCTTTCAATGTAAGTTGTTTAAGTTGCTTCGTTTTTTGTGCTAATACTTTCTCTTTAATTCTGTACAGACATAATCTCTTGTTCAAAGTTCCACTGTTCAAGTCCTGTAATTGCTGTGTCGAAAATTCCGACTAACTTGTCAATCGAAAATTTTCGTTTTGAGTAACTTCTCTGTCGCTTTTTCGCTATCGGTAATGGTATTTTCCCGATTTAGAACAATACTACAGATTTCGCCATTCATTAATTGATTGATGATTGAAAAGCATTGTCATCACAATGAAAAACTTCTTTTATATCACCTTCATTTATTATTTCCTCTCCGCATTTCTTTACAAAATCCGTTAATTGGAAAATTTCACCTTTGTTTTACGATATCCGTAAACCTTTAAAATTCGCTTAAAAAATATCATAATCAAATTTAGCTATCGTTCACTATACATATTTGGCTATGCATCATGAGCTTGGCGACTAACAACAAGTTGTTCCATTAAATTTTATAATGCTTCTATCGTACACTAAGACCATTAGCCTGAATTGTATTAATTATTTATTATACTTCTTGCATATGCTTAAGGGTTATCAGAGTTCTGAATAAATAAATTCCCACGTATACTGAAGCCTTATTGAGGTAAATATCTTACCGCCTGATGCAGTCTCTGTTGATCCTATATTCTGCGACCCGGTGCGGTCATATGAGCCTTGGTGCTGGTTCTGGGTTTATGTGAATAACAAATCAGTTATTCTTAATTCAAATAGCCCTAAATGTAATCTTTGGGTCTATCTATTTTTAGCATATGAAAAGAAATTTTTGTTAACTTCTTCCTCGTCAACATTTTTTAGCGCATTTAACTTAAATCTGTAATCATTGCCAAGCGTAATGTCAACATAAAAGGTTACCATACTCCTTTATTATTCAATAACTAACATAAAAAATTGTTTAGGCATCACTGCATGAGTCATTACTCAAGTTGTAATGTGTTGATAAACATGCAGTGATGAAAGGAAAGTATAATAAATAATGATTCGCCAGGTCGGTGTCAGATCAACGATGTATCTATGTGGAATGTTTCGGTTTGAGATATATGCCAAAGCAGATACGCAGCAATGGAGCCAAATTACTGATCATACAAATTTATACTAAAATGGTTGTTTTTTCAATAGCAATGTCTTTTATTTAGTGTCGAAGTGAAATTAAGAATGGGGACTCTCCAGATGTTTTATTATGTGCAGAGGGGAGAATCAAATATGTATGCGTAAAGCCTATAAGAAAAACGTTGGTGGTGGTATTAAGGTCCGAATTTTAGATCACTCCTGATATTGGACGTCCGGATTTCGGACTTTGTACTGTACCATGTTTCCTTGCATATTTTTTCCATTTTTTTTTTAACCAATCTTATTGTGTGAAAATCAAAAGGGGAAAGTTATGCAAGTTATTAAATTTACAAAGAATATGGTTGCAACAAGAACATACAAATCCACAATCACATGAATGAAGCTTGACTGTAATTTCCAACAAGGGCACCGGAGAAACAGAGGAGGAGTGGTGCAAGCATAACACAAAAGATCGAACCCATCAGCAGTAGATAGGCTATAGTGAGTTGAAATGCAAATAAAAGAAATAAGTTGAAATCACATGTTTGGTTTTGATTGAAATCGCAGTTTCTTAAATGTAAGGACACCTGCCACGCCCGGGTAGCATAACAAAGAATCTGCACAAAATATGTTTCAAATAATAAACGCAAGGGAAAATAAATTGGGTGAAATGTTAATACAAAAATACAAATACAAATTTAATACACTGAATGAAAATAAAAATAACGAGGGAATACAGTTTACCAGTAAACTAACCTTCAGAGGCAAAGCTGTACAATAGAGGAATGTGAAAATTATGTAAATATTTAAAAAAAAATTCAGAAGCTAGCACTAAAATGCAAGGAAAAATGTGGTATTTATCCATTTTGTTTCATATACTCCATTGTATGAAATAAAAAATATTAATAAGCCATTTGTTATATCATTTTTATAACAAAATTCGAACCCTGTCTTGATTTTTTTAGCTATATGTTTTTTTAGTAATTATAGAAATATGTTTTTTTTTTTGCATTAAGATATGGGGAAAAATACAAATTAATTTTTTTGCTTTTTAATATAAAAGTAGTTTTTTGATGTGTTACATTTGTTAAGTATTTTTTCAAACTGTATTCCTAGACTCAGAAAAAAGAGCAATCAAAGTTTTATGGCGAATTATTGGAATTGCGAAGGACAGTAGCAGAGAAAGAACAAGAAATGTGAGTTTATTCTTTTAAAATAAGTTTTTCCTCATATAAATAATCAAATTAATAATAAGTTGGGTTAAATAAATTTTATATCCATGTATATTATGCATATTATTTTTTTTCCATTTTTTTGTAATTTGATATTTTTATTTGGTAAAAAAATATTATACTGTTATTTTCATTCATATTCATCTGAATTACTTCTTTTTTTTAAAAAAAACTTTTATATCTTTTGTTTTAAACTGTATTATTTATAATATAATATTTTTTAGGACTGGATATTTTGTGTATTTCTCTCAACTAAAGGTTTTTGATCTTTTGTCCCCTGTTTTATCAGACCTTGTTAATTTATTGATGTCATAATAGTTTTGTATCTGAATGTTAATAAAGTCACTTTCGTATGGAAATGCCGTGTGAAAATGTCATATGCAGAATGAGGCCAGGTGCTATCATCTATATCCCCCAGTAACTGAATACATACCAATTACTCTGTAACTATGAATACCATTTCAAGTTCTTTGAAAGGAAAAAAATAAGACTTATCCAGGGTTTGTATGATCCTTAAAAGTCCTTAGATTTTTTGGAATCTATTTTTGGTCCTTTAAAGTTATTAATTTCGTCCAAAATCAGCAGAAGGTCCTTAATTTTAATCATTTGAAATTTCTGTCTGTTTTTACGACTGCTATTTTGAATGTGAATTAGCATTTTGGAGGAATATTTTTGGTGATTCTTTGACAAATAAAGTTATCTTTCGAATGGGTTCATGGGTAATTTGTTCATATTTAATATAAATTGCGGGATACTCGAGTTTCTAGCAAGGCATGAAACATAAGCATTTTGGAATTAATTTTTATAATGAAGAGCTCTTAAACAACTTTTTGCTTTTGATGATGTGAATTCTTTTATTTAACATTTCTAAATTTGGTGACTCATGAACATTTTAGCGATTTTATAGAAAATTTTCAATTCCGAGATCTGGGAATTTTTCAAAGATTTTTTAAAACATAGTAATATTGATAAGTTTCATTAAAATAATGGTAATATATTGTAATTATATTTAAAAAATAACATTAAAATAAAACATTTTTATTTTTTGCTGTTATATTATAAAGCTCCATTTTGGCAACTTATTTTGATTCAGAAAAATAAACAAGGTATAATGCACAATAAACACAGTATAATGTACAATAAACAAGGTATAATGCTATAAAGCAATTTTTTTTTATTTGTACAAAGGTATTGAAATTTTATTTAAAAAATAACATTAAAATAAAACATTTTTAATTTTTGCTGTCATATTATAAAATTCCATTTTGGCAACTTTATACAACATTTTGAATCTGAAAAATAAACAAGGTATAATGCTATAAAGCAATTTTTTTAATTTGCACAAAAATAAAAATGTTTTATTTTAATGTTATTTTTTAAATATAATTTCAATATATTACCATTATTTTAATGAAATTTATCAATATTATAATGCTATAAAGCACAATTTGTGAAACAGTTCTTAGCAAAAGCAAAATTAGCTATGTAATTAATTAAAAATGCTGTCTTTTTAATTTTTTCATAGTAAGAGTTTGGTACTTACGTATTAATACCACTGCAGCTGCAGATTTGGCGGTTTTTAAGTGCTGCCAATCTACACCTAAAAATTTTGAAACCATAAATTAAAACACTTTATTTAAAATCAAAGTAGTCAATCGAATTTCGGTGGAAAATGGGCCGATATAGAGTTTAACATAGATTCAAAACAGTCTCTATTTTTTTTACCTAATGAACGCCATATAAACTCTGCTGAATTAGATTCTAAATGATGTCTCACTGTCTCCCTATGTCTCTTGTTCCTCCATTTAGCACTGCCCCACATTCTCTTAACTGTTTGTGATTGAACTCCTGTGTTAGAATCAATAAAATTGTATTTATGATTAACTTTAGCATGTAGGAATCTCTTTTTTTTTTTTTTTTTTTCTATTCTATTTGTTTGTTAACCTTTCCAAATGTCAGAATAAATTGTGGTACCATCTGCAATGTTTTCAGTAATTTTATTAAGAAGGGTAGAGCCAGTTCGATTAGGAACAGTGACAACAAACGAATCTTTTGTTTCTCTACATATACCACCAAACACCCACTGTTCGGGTAATACTCAACCACAATTATTTTTGCGATTAGTAAACAAACTTTCATCAATTTCCACAATGCAATCTGGTCCACCTACTTTCTTGCTTGGTTTATTCTCCATGTCCAAGACACATAATTCATGCATGTAATTGTTCCAGTCTATGACAGTTTCATCCGATAAATCAAATTGCTTTTCACAAAATTTAATCAACGTCAACTCCTCGCACCAGCAGTATACGAATCTCAAAGCTGAACAAAATGGAATTCTGCTTCCTTCAAACCAGTTGTTTTTTCTAAGTCCCACTTGCTGATCACACTGTCTTAAATTACATTTCCAAATCGTTCATTTACCAAAAGAAAGTTTCATATCATGCGAATTGGTACTTTTTTTTTTTTTTTTTTTTTTGGGTAAAATATTTCACTTTTGAAAAAATAAAATTGCATCTTCTTCTGTGTTTGGCAAATCCCAAAGATGCATTTTTGTAGCACTAAAAAATGGCGTCAAAAATCAGCAAACAACAAGGCAAAAAGAAATCCAAAAGATAACTGCGTGCCAACAACAGGATTGCTCTTTATTGGCGCATGAGCGCAACTTCTGCTGTGGTATGTAAGTACCAAGAGTTTTTCCCATATAATTGTCTCAGAATATGCATCAGTTATCTCTATAAAATTAATTTTAAACTTTTTCCCTTTCTTTTCCCCAAAATATTTCTTCCTTTTTGCTATTACAGAATTGTTAGGGATAATTTTTCATTAGGATTTTAGACACTGCAGCTTGGAAAGTTTAAAAGGATTCGAAAGCAAGATTATAGACCCACGATTCTAGATTCCAGAAATATGTGACAAAGTGAAAAATGTCTCCATGGTATTAACATGTAATGGGTGTATTTTACCAAAAGTTTGCGATGAATTTCTTACTTTTTGGAGAACGTCTGGAAGAACAATGAAAATATAACATTTAAATGTTTTACTTCTGATACTAGAATCTTTTTCTTAACATGTTTATCTTCCCTTTATTTTTTCTATTCTTCACTAGACAGAAGCACGGAAAATATCAGAAATGCTTCTAATCTTATCACACGAACAAGTGTTATAGAAAGGAATTTTTTTATTAATAAAGAAATTAAAAACTGACAGTGTAAAAGATTTATCTAATATGCCTTAATGCATCATACACAGAGGTGGCACTAGGCATTTTCCCACCAGATGCAATCTCTGTAGATACTAAATTCTGCTGCCTAGTGCCTTTCTAAATTCTGTTGATAGTGCCTGCTCTAAATTCCTTTAAGTTGTGACTTTTTTGTTGTTGTTGTTCGGTGTGTTACTAAATTCTAATAATTTTGTTGTTTGGTGTGTCATTAAATTCCAATAATTCTAACACATCAGCTCTATAACCAGCCCTTCTTACCACATATATTTCATATTTCTTCTGAATGTTCATATTACTAAAGAAATAAAATGAAAAGCTTTTTTTATACATTCTAAATGCTTTAATTTTTTTTTTTTTTTTTTTAGAATAACAGAAATCCTTAATTAAATCCAAAAATTCTGAAATGAAAAGGAAATGTGTTGAAGAAAAAAATTGAATACATAAAAATATTATTCTTCAAAGATATGTACAGTTATTAATATGTAAATTACCCAGTTGTTTGTGATTTGAGTCTTAACTAGAATTTCCAATTTCTATTTCCTCATATGATAGAGTTACTGAACCAACTTAAATTAAATTGTATAGTCTTTGACCACAAGTGCACATTTTTAGTTTAAATTTGACTGTTCTTGTTTAATTACATCATCACAAGCTGTAATTGATTTTGTTAGCATCAGAACATGCCTTTATATTCTAAGTTCTTTTTAAATAAGAGGCTTATTTAAACCTTTATCTGAACAGTTTTGGGTTTGACAACTATCTAGGTAATGAGCTGCATCATTATCTATACTATTAAAATCTGTGCACGTCTGTTTGTTTGTTTGATCGTAACATCATCTCTTCTGGAACAATGGTAGTTTGGTGCAACTTTTGAATCCGGCGAACAGGCTGGCTGCGTGGATGTTGTCATGATTTTCCACATGTGTAACATGTATGCAGTATCTTGTGGATGCATACGTGAATACAGCGGGCGCAGCCTGGGCAAAATGTCTGAACACTGGTAGTTCGGTTCACCTTTCTAATCCCGGCGAACGAAAGCAGGCTTCTGGCGGGCTTGCCACGTGTATGCAGTATCTTGTGCATGCATATGTGAATACAGCGGGCGCAACCCCGGCAAAATCGCTGAACACTGGCAGTTCAATTGAACTTTTGAATCCCTGTGAACGAAAGCAGGCTTTAGTCCACTCAGCTGGCGGGCTTGCCCACTAGTCTATACTATTAAAATCTGTGCACGTCTGTTTGTTTGTTTGTTCATAACATCATCTCCTCCGGAACAGTGAGGAGTTGAGTTTCAAAAGAGGTAATTCCAAAAATTTGTGCTAGCCATTCTCATCTTCGTTTCGACTTTAATCAGCCAAGATATTAATTAAAAACTGAAAACAGTAATTTTTGCACTAATTTTGCTTAGTGGCAACAATCTTGTGTGCTGGAGATAAAAATCTGCTTTATTTCGAGAAGCGTTGCCTCTGCTCACTTTCAAGTCGTAGCTTGTTAATAAAAAATTTGTAAGCTTTTCAAAATATGGAATAAAAATAGCATTGCTAAACATTAAACATATTATTATTATTATACAAGGTCATATCCTGGCATTGAAGAAAGCAAGTAATCGCATGTAATGTCATTGTATGTTGAAAATGTTTCATTAATGTCAGCATTTTAAATAAATAGCTGCTGTTAGCAACTTTTTTGTTTCAGGTTAGGATAATTGTCACATTAATTCTTTTATTGATATTGAGAAAAAATTTTATATTACATTAAATTTAAATCATGACATCATCATGCATATTAACCTGAAGTGTCAAAAATTTTTGCTTCCTGGTTAGGCAACAACAACAAAAAAATATATATATATATAAATTGTTCCTTGGAAAGACATCATATTGAAATGTTTTTATACATTTTTTTCAGGTGTACATAGAACTTATAAATTTTGCTTGGGCCACAGCCTGCTAGAATTAATTTATTCTCAGTCCATGTAATCAAATGATTTGCAAGAAATTGCTTGACATATTTAAAACATTATTATGAGTTTAGATATATGGTCTTACTAAGTCATGATCCTGTATAACTATCTTACACAAGCATAAAAAAAAATTAATGTTTGTATGTTTATATATATATATTTTCAAAATCTACATATTCTAAATTGCAAAAGAGGGAAAGCTAACTCTTGCACAGCACATCCTTATATGAAAATTAATCACATTCCATTAACCAAACTATACTGATTGTTATGGAAGAGAGAGATGATGAATAACAGCTTGGCTTCTGTTAATGGTGAATAAATACAGTTTGCAAAAATTTGGATTCTGCTTCCTGCATATGTGCATAAAATGGATATTTTTTATTGCTACTTACATAAATTACATCATCAAATGAAAATTTAATTATTTTTGCTTTGATTTAGTATTTTCAGAATTACGGATTTATAAAAAATGCTAAATGATAAAAGTTCTATTTGAAACTCTACACATTATTTACAACATTTTTGTAGTTTCTAATTTTCTTTTAGCTTTAAAATATGACATTTTTCACGTTGTGGTGGCAAATATTTTTATTGCAAACTTTGTCTCTAGAACTGGTATTAATTTTCAGTTTTGTCAGATGCAGTTGTAATATTAATTTGCTTAGCAATGAAAGATTTTTAGTATTTTTAAAACTTACTTTGTAGAATACGTTTGAAGAAGATCAAACGAAAAGAGGACAAGCAAAAGTGGGATGATCGTCATTGGTCTCAGAAATCTATGGATGAAATGACAGAAAGAGATTGGCGTATCTTCCGTGAAGATTTCAATATAGCTATTAAAGGTGGTCGAATACCAAATCCTATTCGCCACTGGAAAGAATCAGGATTGCCAAAATCAATTTTAGAAATTATAGAACAATTAGGATACAAAGTAAGTTTTATCTGATTACATAATTACATTAATTAATTGTAAATAATAATTAAAGTATTTTTATTCATTCTTTAGGTAACTGTAACTTTTATTTTATCTATTAAGGTCTATGCACTTGAAATGATGTAGGGGGTTGAAAAGTGGGTAATATGATTAACTGTTATTATAATCAATTAAATATAAAAGACTACAGATTTCTTTTTTCCCTTTTTTACATAGTTCAGTTATTGGTTTCTTTTTAGAGAATTTGTATAAAAGTTCAGAATAACAAAAAATTAAAAAAAAAAAAATATGCTTCATTTTTCAGTTCTCCCCCTTTCATTCTTCAATGCATCAAAAATCTTGTAATTCTGGTAGTTACTTGAGAATTCATACACAATTTAAATGGTAGAGAAATGTTATATGCTTGTAAATCAATAAGTTTGCGACATAATTCAAAAGCTGAGAGATTAACAAGTATGTCAAAAATTATTATTATTATAATTATTTTTATAATAATTATAATAATCATATTTGAAGTAGTAGCTCATTTAATTGTTATGTAAGCAATTTTGATACATACCTACATTGCATATAATTCAATTGTTATGTTACATAGTAGGACTAGGAACATTTTCATATTCTGAAACTAATTTCAGTTTTATTTTGAAATTAAAGATATGATTACTCTGGATAGTTTGCTGTACTGCTAATTTTCTGCAGGCTTTTTATAATAATTAAATAGAAGTGTATGTAGTTATAAAATATAATTAAATAATTTAGTAAAAATTATTTTTTTATAAATCTTCTCAATAAAATTACTGTTTCATCCACTGTGAAAATTTTTAAAATCTTTCTCTATTACTTCAGAATATTTTAATTTTTACTATGTAGAGTCTTAGAATTTCAATAGCTAGTTAAATGTGCTTTCCAACTATGCCATGAAGGCAGATCGTAAAGAGAAAGAAAATACCTTATAGCCCTAATCTGTTTAAGTTTAATATTTGTTTAATATTTATCTGGTCAAAATTTTTGTTGCTATTTGAAAAATATTGTACATTGTGCAAAGTCTTCATTGATTAATATAATATATTAAAGTAGTGCATTTTATTTTTAAGCATTAAAATTAATAAAATATTCAATTTTTTCCCTGTTACATAAAATATAAATTGCCTAAATACTAAGTAAAACAGTCAAATTATGCAATTTATTAAAATATACTTGTCCTGCATATCCAGGTGGGGGAGACAGAAATGAATACACAGAGTGAATTCTTAAAACACTAAGAAATATTTTTCAGCCACTTTATCATATCGGGTTATTTATGTGGTAGTATTGTTTGCATCAGCAAATAACAATGAATATTTGCAATGATGTGTAACAACTGAGTGAGTTTGACTAAAGTTGCATTTCTACCTTCAGGGAAGCAGTTTGGTCTAGCAGCACTAGTGTCAGAATAATTACATAATTGTGCAATATTGTTACCAGTAGCTCCAATAAGAGGCTGCTAATTATCATAAGGCAAATCATCAAAGGCAGAATGACAAGTTTTCAGAAAAATAAATGGTATAGTGATGTTTGTCATAAGAACACCAGTAACTTTATTATCTGTCATTGAAACAATTTCCTGGATGTTTAATATCACAAAGTGCCTTGTGCAAAGACTAGCAGAGGCTGAAACCATTATTGGTATTAATTGTCACTTCTGGATAATGACTACAGTGTAGTGTATAATATGTGTATTATTATGTTGTAGCCACAAAGCTTAGACTTTAACAGATTTGAATCTTATCTTGTTTAACTTGGATGATTATAAGATCCATTTGTGAATGAAGCCTGGCAGTTCTGCCATGTTTTTGTGTAGCACCATGCATTCATCAATCAGGTCTAGTGTTACTGTTTGTGAAAGCAGTTACATGCCAAATTTAGTGATCCTTTTCAGTGCTTATATAAGTTGATGTTGTCCTGTGATTTGATATAAGTACTATTGTATTAATTGAAAACTATTTTTCAAGAAGATTATGCCTCTGTGCACTCACTGATTGTCCCCAAAAATTATTTGCATAGTGTCATAAGTTCTTTGACCAAGCAAATCTGCAAATCTTTTCCCAATCAAACTTTGTGGGATATGCTAAGATGTTGATTAAGGAAGACACCTCAAAAAGTACATAAACTTGCTGAGAATATCTGACAGCTAATTCTACAGGATGCTATTTTGACATTCGTGTTAACCCAAATTGTGCTGGTTCTTCATGCATTGCTGGTAGAGAATGTAGAATCATTAGGTTTATGAAAGCAAAAAGCAGAAAAAATCACCACTGCCTTCACCAGAATTTGGACTCTGAACTTCCCGATCTAGCTAGATTTTGTTCCAATTACACCACAAAGGTACATAGTAAGGAAGGAAAAAATTCTTTCCATTATCCTCTACGTAAAAGGTGACTGAAGAGGGAACATCATGTTGCCAAATCCAGATGATAACAAATTATCCTCCACCACATCTTTGTTTAGACATAAGCTGTAGAGCCTGTTAATTATTTATCAAAGCAGAAAGCACAAAAATCACCAGTGTCAAGCAGTGTCTTCACTAGTATTTGAACTCTGAACTTCGTGAATGCTAGCCATATATGCTTCTAATTATACTTTGAAGGCACATGGTAAGGAAGGAGAACAAGGTGACAGTAAACAAGTCACTTAATACTAATATGTAATTATTTCCTGAATGCATCAGTAAATTATTGCTAATTATCCACTTTAATCACATCTTTCTCATTACTCATCTAAGGTACCATCAGAATAAGAACAGTCTTTCAAGATGTGTAGAATTTTTTTTAATGCAGTCTGTATGTATATTTTCAAAATGTACAAATTGTAAGGCGGGAGCACTTATTTTTCATCGAATATCTTGAAGTTACTAGTATATAAAATCACTATTAATTTGACATTATAAAACTGAATTGTATGATGTTGTATGCTGAAGTTGGTTTGCTTTTTACAATACCTTTTTTTTTTTCCAATTATTAGGATCCAACTCCAATTCAGAGACAAGCCATACCTATTGGCTTACAAAATCGGGATATCATAGGTGTTGCTGAAACTGGCAGTGGAAAGACTCTAGCTTTCTTAATTCCCCTTCTTGTTTGGATCACTTCACTTCCTAAAATTGAAAGGTAATATTAATAAAGATTTGTGATTTATAAAGAACATGAAGTGCTATTTATATGCAGAATTATTTAGAATATTATGAGAAGTCATTTTCACTACAGAAAAACAAAAACGAAGAAATACATAATCTTTTTAAAATGTGTTTCTTAAAGAAATTCAATGGTATTTGTATTCTTCTTACAAATTATATATAACTGGAATTGACTGACAACTTTAATGTTATTGATTTAATGGTATCAGTATTTAAGGACTTTTCCTTCTCTCTTCCCCCCTTTTTTGAGAAGGGGGGTTGAAAATTCAAATGCAAATACTTTGAATTTAATTATGTAGAAAAACTGCTTTTTATCAACTTTTTAAACTTTCTGGAAATGTAAAGTTTTTTAATTTTAATATCTGAAATGAAACACTATTCTATTAAAATTACTATCCTATTAATTAACTAACAAAATCTGAGATCTGGATTCACCAAAGTCATGGCAATTCTGGATTTGGAGTTTTCCATATATTAGACCATCAGTTCCAATCTAGTAAGATGACATGTAGAAGTTATAAAATTAAGAATATGAAATAATATAGCATTTATGGTCTCAATAGAATCAAAATTTGGGGCAGGAGAAACCTCTGTGAATTTAATTTGAAATGTCTTAAAAGTGTATGGAATTTTAACTTAGAAATCGTGCATATAAAAAGTGTGTGATGATCTGGTTCACAAAAATATCAAATTTGAGCTAAAGAGAATTTTAAAAAATGTATATCTGGATCGTCTTGAATAAATCTAAAGTGATAGAAGTTTTCCCTGATAACTAATAATGAATACTGGATTTTCTAGTTCACTCTGGAAATGAATATCAAAGCCAAGAGTAACATACAGGCAACTTATTATCAAACCCCCATCTTGAAACCTCAAGGGTGAACAAATCTAAAAATCAAATTATCTTGATTTATTTTTGACTATCGGAATGATTTTCAGTGTCTCGGGGTTTTGTGTCAAGTCAGCATTGTTATCACTAGTCTTCGAAATGCTCTGTAAAAAAGTCACTTCTATGCAGTCAAATAGCACTTAGAGTCTGTTTCATTATAATGCCCAAGCACCTCCTGTACGAATTGACTCAAAAGGTCAGTTTAATAGTTTTGCATCCTTCCTGGTCTGAGCTTATATGACTTCAATTTTCTCAGATTAAAAATTCACTTGAAAGATTGCTGTTTTGACAAGTCGATAGCAACCATAAAATTATAACAAACAATTTTAAAGCAATTCTGTTTCAAGCATTTTAGCTGTGATTTTGAAGATTAAAAGCAATCAATCAATTTTCTAATAATATGAAACTTCCAAAGAGAACTACTTTGAAGGGATATATCACTGATTTGAGAATAAAAATACATACAGTCAAAATTCTTTAATCCAGACTCGCCGGGACTTCGGCGATTCCGGATTATAGATTATCCATTTAAATCTGGTAAGATGACATGCAGAAATTATAAAATTAAAAATATGAAACTGTAATTTATGAAATAAAGAGCAATTATGATCTAAAAGGGTATCAAAATTTACCCACTAATTTGTCAATCGAAATTTAACCTCTGTGTCACTTTCTTCGCTATCGGAAGCGAATTATAATGACGAGGAATTCGATTTAAATCATATCAAAGACGGAGTACATCAAGATGAAATACTACATTTAGTAAGGAATTATAAGCCGAATAAAATAAAAAACATCTGCCCTGAAGATGAGGAATAGTGCTGAACAGATCAACTTCCGAGTTCAATTGCGCGCCGTGACGTCTTCCCCCCCCAAGGAGAGCAAGCGAGAAATTGATAAACAGATTTCAGAATGGTTAGAGAAACAAAGGATATGCCTTTATCCATTTTTTTGCAGCAATTCTACTTTTTGTGCGATTTACATCGAAACATGCTTTCGCTTTGTAGATCCTTTGGCAGCTCCAGAAACGTAAATTCTTTTTGACATAATCGAAAGTTCAAGCTTACTTTTATAAAATTGCTCTAACAGTCTGCAAAAAATAATAAGCTGTATCCAATTCGAAGATTAAGGAACAACGCAATCTGCAACATTAAGTGAAATAGATAATTAGATAATTTTAGCTTAGCTTATACCGTCCGGTATACATTTATGCATGCGTAAACGCATATGCGCATGCATAAAGATCATGCACAGAAAGTTTTTAGTTTTGAGGTCCGGATTGTAGATCTTTCCGGATTATGGATGTCCGGATTAAAGACTTTTGACTGTACTATGTTTTACAAAAATGCGTTTCCTATAAACTGATATGTTTAATGAAACCAATCTTATTATTTTTCCATAATACCTTATGCAGTCAATAATTAGAGAACTGATTATTCTGTATGAAATATTTTTTGTGGTTTGTAAAATAAGCTTAATTTATGTATAAACCATATATACATTTTGTTTTGTGTATATTGAATAACTTTGATTAAATTTAACTTTCTTGTATAAAGATCTTATTTGATAAGAAATTTATAATTTAAAGCATGTTTTGAAATTCTTATTTTAGGAATGAAGATATAGATCAAGGGCCGTATGCTATAATCATGGCTCCAACTCGTGAGTTAGCTCAGCAAATAGAAGAAGAAACTATAAAATTTGCAAAAACTTTGGAAATTAGAACTGTAGCAGTTATAGGTGGTTTATCAAGAGAAGAACAAGGTTTCCGTCTTCGTCTAGGATGTGAGGTATGTTAAATGAACATCATAAATTTTTCAAAGTTCATTCTAAATTGTGTGAATCAATATTTTTTATGTGTCTGCTTCCATCATAGACTTGCAGTGTGATTTCTGTGAATTATATTATAAATCGAGTACTGTGAATCTTTCTGTATATATTATTTATTTCCATTTGTGAAAACTTTGCATACAGTCGATACTGCAGTACTGTTGTAACATATAACAATTTAAAGTTACAAAATGTATGCTGTAAAGCTGAAATTAAGCATTTAGATAGATTAAAATAAATACAGAAATTGTACTAAATTTTAACAAATTGATGTTCAAAAATGAAATGATAGTTATTGAAATTAAATTAAACTTTAGATACAGGGCAAAGGACCAAATAGAAATTATATCTAATTTTTATTTTCAATACCATGTTACTAGTAATTACCACATTAGTATACGTTATTATTTTTCTGACCCATTTGGGGCTGGCAAAAGAAGGAGGAAGTGCTCCCCAAGCACCCACACACTGAAAATATACATATGCACTGGATTGGGCGATTTTTCTCTGTAAGGCCTAGTTTAATTAAAAACCATTATTGAAATTAAGTGCTGAAATTTACTATATATTATCATTTATAGTATCTGAATATGCTGCAATAACATTTTTGTAATATTTTTTAAAAAATCGTGCATTTTAAAGAAAATGGTTTCATTTCAATAGAAAAAATTATACATATATACATTGCTGGGAGTGTTTGGAAGGGGACACTTCAAAAATATAAACAAATTTATAATCAAACTACATATATCCACACAAATTTCATAAATTTAAGGAAATGAATGAATTGTCCATATTTATAAAGTCATATTAGCGTCTTGTTACATACCTTGTGGTAGTTTAGCAGTACTTTAGTGAATTAAAAAATTGATCTGTAAATTTTTCTCCCCCCAGCACTGTATATAAATGATAAAACATTTTTGTAAACTAACATACAAGTTTTCACAAAATAGATAAAATGTTAAAAAATTGATTATAAGAAAATATGAGATAAATGTAAGAAAATTACTAAATAATAAAAAATTTTGATATTTACGATAGATTTTGAAACATGGTTTTCTTTTTTGATTTATATTGTTATGCAACCATATAGTTAGATCACAGAGCGGCTTATAATCATAAAGTGGCTGTAGTATAGAAACAACATTTTTGTAATAAATAGCAGTTAATTATTATTATAATTATAAGCTCTTGAACTTCAAAAATCCTGTCTGAGAAATTCCCTATTTTTATTATTTATACATTTCTTAGTCATTTTGTGTTTATCTGTTGAAATAAAATTGCCTGTATTTAAATATCTAATGCATTTTTAAATGTTTACAATAAGAAACAATATACACTATATTATTTTAATTTACTGTTCCATACAAGAAATATAGTACCAATGCTTTTCCTGTTTAATTCTGATGATTTAGGAAAATATTAAAAATGATACTACTACATAAAGTTATGTTTTCACCTCTTTAATTTTGTTTTGAGTTCCAATAAAATTGAAAGTTTATCTCAGTATAGATCAAGGGCCCTAAAAACGAATTAGTACTAATTTCACTTACATCCACTTTTTTATTCTTTTTTTTTTTTTTTTTTTTTTTTTTTTTTTAAATGGGGAGAGGATAAATATTCATTTGAGTTATATATTTAGATTTATAAAATCATTTTGAACTTTTTATTTATCATTTGTCATTATAAAATAATATACACTGTAAATTTGTATAGATTCTGAACTTGCATATATTTTGCCTTATTATGTTTAATGCGGTGAACATTTTAAAATTTTGAAATCTCTGTTATTAATAATGAAAATATAGGAAAAATACCTTCATATAAACCATTGTCTTCAATTGTATGAGGTTTTCATTTTGTGAGCATGTAATTTATATCAAGATCAAACAATATGTAATATAATTTATTTTTTATTTTAGATTGTCATTGCTACACCTGGCCGTTTAATAGATGTTTTAGAAAACAGATATTTGGTCCTAAATAGATGCACATATATTGTGTTGGATGAAGTAAGTGCTTTGCAGTAGGTTTATTATTACTTTCTTTTTTTTTTAATTGAGAACAATTAGATTTTAAAAAGTATTAATCTTCACCCAAATAAGATATTGCATATCAATTGAATGTTATCGAATTAAAAAAAATAACCATTTAAATACTTAATTGAACTGAATTATTTCTTAATATATTTAATGTTAGAAATTTAAAATGTTGTTAAAAGAAGGACAGATATTTGTTATTTATCAGATCATATCGTGTATATTTATGCAAGCTTTTGAAAGATGCAAAAAGTACATCAAACACAAGAATTTTTTTTTTTTTTTTCCCTTAGCAGCAGTTAACATGTAATAGCAGTATAAAACCCATAAATGAAATGAATTCTTTTTAATTCTAAGAAGACTTTTTGGAAACTGCTTACATGAAACATTCTTTTCTACACATCTTGGGTACATAAGATTTTGTTTGCTAAAATTGATTACATTTTGCTCTTTGTTTACTTAAATACTGATTCTAGATATGAGTTTCAAGCTACGGAATTTTCATGATATGAGGAAGATAATCTGAATTAACCTTTTTGAGATGGTTTTTAAGATGTTACCTCGTGATGGATGGAAGTCGAAAGGAATTGTCACACAAGATAGGGTTTTGCGTCGCTAAGGTTAACTTTAGGGGAAGTGGAAATGTTTAAGTTCTAATGTCATAATTTTCTATATTTTAGATTATTACTTAAGCTATCATATATGTAGTATCTGGAAGTGCGACACAACCACCAGAGGGCCTCACCGATGCGCCAGCAGCAAGGTGAAAGAGGAGTATGAGAGAGACTCTTCTGCTATCCCACGCGAAGGTGGTGAGATGTCTGTCTACACGTGAAGGTGTAGAATAAGGAACTGTAGTTTTCCACGCGAAGGTGGTAAATTGAACTGTTTAATACATCAGCAAGTGCGAGTAGGCACTAATCCGTTATGTTATAAGACTGGAAAAAGCTATACAGGATCCTGTTTGTATCAAATGGCACTTGTATTTAATCTAATTTGTACCTTTTCTGATTATCTTTATTAAATGTTCTGTGGTGTGGAAAACAACGTTGGAATTGTTATTTAGCATCTTCAACGCCCCCAGATAAGAAATGTGGAAGAACCACATATATGTCAAAATTAGCATTTAATATTCCTTTTTCTTTACTTCACATGAAAATGTACAAAAAATTGCTTACTTTGAGAATAATTTTCTGAAGTGCTATTCAAATTATTATTAAGTTATAATTGGAAAAATACATCAATAAACTTTAAAATTAATAAAAAAAAAAATACAGGAAAGACTATTTACAAGAAGTAACAAAATCTTTCATGGAAAGTGGGAGGCAGGCACTTGAACTCCTTCTCTTACAAGTAAATGTCTGTATCAGAATCACAAAAAATGTTGCTTTCTAATTGTTCACAAAATGATTTATTACTCTCATCCATGTCATATAATATGGTCCAAAATCTAGTGAAATTCTATGCATAAAGTTTGGTTTATGTTTTTGAACTGTGCTATGAAATTTATGATTTTGCCATTCAGCAGTACTTATAGTTTCTTAGCTTGTTAACTAAAGAATAGGCAGATCCAAAATGCTGTCATATATCTGTACAATGATTGCTTAGAATATCAACAATATGAATAGATCTATTTAAAGAGTTTTCGGACTTCAGATGAATAAAACTTTAAAAAAAATGTTCAGGTTCAGAAATCAGATTAAAAAATTATAATTCTCCATTCTCCATTTATGCTCAGAATGCCTTTAAAAAAAATTCAAATGCAATAATAAAGAATCGTCATACTGTGATTATCAATGAAAAATTCAGCTGTTATGAAATCGACAAAAACCTTACTCGCTTCATTTGTGTAGCATTCTATTCAAATCTGCTAAAATTACATTTTAATGTAAATTAGATCATTGTTCATGAGCTTTTTAAATAAAGTCACTTTCTGTTTGGCGCATGACAGGCTGAAATTCAGTTAAACAATAGAACTAATTTTTCCCTCTATTTTTACAAGCATAATCAGATTTTATAAATTTAATAAAAAGCATTTCGAACTATGCTACATACTGAAGCATCCATTTTTGAAACTAAAGAAATAAGAAATTTAATATATTGTATGAATTTGAATATCTAAGATATTAATTCAGAAGTCAAACAACAAAAATCAGCGTTATACCTACAAAATTTTCACAGGACTAGTTTCGATGGTTTTACCGAACCATCATCTTCAGCTGCAAAACCGCAAATGAACAAGATAGGAAAATAATGATTAGATAAGATAAGAAAGCCTGGACAAGAATAAGCAAGTGGCGCCATCTGTTGGCGAAACCAGAACTAAAACATAATTTCTCTAAAAGCCGAAGGCAAATTTGGATTGGAATTAGGATCGTTAACTAGAACAGAAAGATTTTTATGAATGTGAAATGCCTCTAGAAAATCCAGTTCTCCAATGCAAGATGTTTTTTGAATAATTTTGGCAGCAGAAAAATTGAAAGTGTGATTTTCGGACCAACAATGTTGAGCAACAGAAGACCTCTGTGTTTCCTTTTTTCTAACATATGCCTCATGTTCTTTGACGCGAAATTTTAAGGCTCTCTTAGTTTGGCCAATGTAAATTAAACCACACTGGCAAGGAATCCTATAAATACCCCAGGAATTCATATCCGGAATGGGGTCCTTGAGTATAGAAGTTGGAATTTTATTGATGGGAGAAAAAACAACCCGAAAGTAAAATTTCTGCAAAATATGTGCAACTTTATAGCTAATTGATGGAAAGAAGGGAATGACAACAGAATTTTTATAATCTCCTAAAATAAGAGTGTGGCTTTTAGTGTGTTGAGAATTTTTTAACTGCTTGATTAATAATGTTGGGTGAAAAGCCCCTGTCAATAGCTATTGCTTTTAAATAATTTAGTTCTTCATCAAGGGCTAGTTTGGAGGAGCAAAACTTGAAGAGCACGGAAAACATAGGAATAAAATGAAGCTAACTTTTGTTTAGTCGGATGACATGATTTAAAGTGTGGTGGAAGGCAAAACCGATGAAGGTTTATGGTAAAACTGTAGTACTGAAGTTGGATGTGTTACGTGTGACCAGAATGTCGAGAAACGGAAGAGAATTGCAAGTCTCAAGTTCAAAAGTGAACTGAATAGCAGGATCAATAGAATTCATTGTTGAAAGAAACTTTATTTAAATCATCTTTATTACCTTCAACAGGGTAAAAGTATCGTCTACGTAGCGGAACCATGCCGGGAAGTTTAAAGTTTCAAACAATTTTGATTCATAATAATGCATGTAGATATCAGCCAGGATGGGACTGAGGGGACTTCCCATGGCTAATCCCTCAGTTTGCTTGTAATATTTATTTTGGAAAACAAAATGTATTTGTTTCAAACAGAGTTGAGTGAGAGAAATTAGCTCATCAATTTCGATGCAAGAGAAATGAAATTCGCGAAGTCTGGTTTCTAGCATCTTAATGCACCCTCCACTGTTTGAAGGTAATAAAGATGATTTAAATAAAGTTCTTTCAACAATGAATTCTATTGATCCTGCTATTCAGTTCACTTTTGAACTTGAGACTTGCAATTCTCTTCCGTTTCTCGACATTCTGGTCACACATAACACATCCAACTACAGTTTACCGTAAACCTTTCATCGGTTTGCCTTCCACCACACTTTAAATCATGTCATCCGACTAAACAAAAGTTAGCTTCATTTTATTCCTATGTTTTCCGTGCTCTTCAAGTTTGCTCCTCCAAACTAGCCCTTGATGAAGAACTAAATTATTTAAAAGCAATAGCTATTGACAGGGGCTTTTCACCCAACATTATTAATCAAGCAGTTAAAAAATTCTCATCTCAACACACTAAAAGCCACACTCTTATTTTAGGAGATTATAAAAATTCTGTTGTCATTCCCTTCTTTCCATTAATTAGCTATAAAGTTGCACATATTTTGCAGAAATTTAACTTTCGGGTTGTTTTTTCTCCCATCAATAAAATTCCAACTTCTATACTCAAGGACCCCCATTCCGGATATGAATTCCTGGGGTATTTATAGGATTCCTTGCCAGTGTGGTTTAATTTACATTGGCCAAGCTAAGAGAGCCTTAAAATTTCGCGTCAAAGAACATGAGGCAATGTTAGAAAAAAGGAAACACAGAGGTCTTCTGTTGCTCAACATTGTTGGTCCGAAAATCACACTTTCAATTTTTCTGCTGCCAAAATTATTCAAAAAACATCTTGCATTGGAGAACTGGATTTTCTAGAGGCATTTCACATTCATAAAAAATCTTTCTGTTCTAGTTAACGATCCTAATTCCAATCCAAATTTGCCTTCGGCTTTTAGAGAAATTATGTTTTAGTTCTGGTTTCGCCAACAGATGGCGCCACTTGCTTATTCTTGTCCAGGCTTTCTTATCTTATCTAATCATTATTTTCCTATCTTGTTCATTTGCGGTTTTGCAGCTGAAGATGATGGTTCGGTAAAACCATCGAAACTAGTCCTGTGAAAATTTTGTAGGTATAACGCTGATTTTTGTTGTTTGACTTCTGAATTAGTGTTTATTCGGCGTGTTATTGTGTCTTAATCTAAGATATTATTTAAGGTTTGAATATTTTCAGTATGGTGTCCCCTTTTTGCATTTAAAGATATGAGTACATTCTATGAATAGCATTTTGGGCTTACTATATGAAATCATATAGGAAATTTTTTTAATAACTCACTGATGTAACTAAATGTTTAAGATTGCTTTAAAAAGTGTTAATTTAAAGAAATGATAGTTAAGAGTTTTTAAGAAGTTCACATTATATAAAAGTTTTTCATATGAGTGATTTATTTGAATGTTTTAGGCTGACAGGATGATAGACATGGGTTTTGAGCCAGATGTGCAGAAGATTCTGGAGTACATGCCTGTTACAAATCAGAAACCTGATACAGATGAGGCAGAAGATGAAGAGAAGTTATTGGCTAATTTTAATTCAAAGAATAAATACAGACAGGTTATATCTATTTCCAGTATCATCTTATCTGTAATTTCTGTATAAAAATTATGTATTTTGAAATTTTTTGTATATTTTTCTATTTGAATTCTTATAGCAATCAGTTTTAGTTGCTTTGCACGTGCAAATGTTTTAAGACTATTTTTGTATTTTTCCAATTTTTTTTTTTTTAATTTCTGTAATGTGAGATGTAATTCCGTCTATTAAATATTGTTACTTAAGAATGGAACTTTAAGAAAAACTTATACAAGGATAAACTTTACAAAACTTGGCAGTTTGGTATAATTTGGTTGACGAAGATCCAAGGACTTGATGACCTTTCACTTAAACAGATAACCAACATGCTCAGAATGCACTATGAATTTTTTCCATGTGGTTAGACAGAAAACAAGAAAGTCTGCCAGAGAATTCTAACATGATTGAGAGATGCTTTGCATAAGAAGAAACTTCAGTTGTGAGGAGTGGAAGACTTGGATGTTGCATTATCACAATGCTGCAACTCAGACATCACTTCTTGTTACCAGTAATCTGACAACATATTGCACTTCCATTGTGCACAATATGCCATATTCTCTAGACTTGGTCCCAGCAAACTTTTTTCTACTCATGCGATTTTTACAAAACTTGGCAGTTTGGTATAATTTCAGTCATAGAATCGAAATATGGGAAAAAAAAATTGGCATGTCATTTCGGAAAAAGTCCGATTTTGTGTCAAGATACCTCTATTAGAACAATGCTATATATAATTCTAATATATATTTTAAGTCAAGCTTTCGTGACATTAAAAGCACAAGTTGAATTTTATCAATCAGCCCATGGGAGATATAGAACTGCCCCCCTTTTTTTTTTCTTTTGCGCAGTGGACCATACATGGTTGGTTCCCATAGTGTTGCCGTTTAACAAAACCTAGATATGTTTTATCTTTTGATTTCTCAATCAATCTCTAATTGCTTAACAGAGTAAGCAAAATAAAAGTAATAAATGCTTCTTACTTCTTTGTACAAAGTAAAGGAGCTGCTTTAAATCACGAAAAATTTCGGTTATCTTATATCAATGAAGATATCCATTTGAATGATGTTTTTGTGCGACATCTATACATACGGACACAATAAAAGACTCTTTTTCCCAAAACGGATTGTAAAATGGAAGAAATTATTTTTTTCGGTATATCTGTACATTTGTATGTATTTATCTTGCATAATTAAAAAATGTGTAGCCTCAAAACATTTAAATTTGTATGTGAAACTGCTATAACAAGTAGTTGTGTACTGCTATAATAGGTGTTCTGGTTGCAATTAAACCAAACGTATATATATATATATATATATTGCTACTCTGTTACCTTATCAGCTAATCCTGTTTTATTATTGTTATTATTATTATTTGTTGGTAAACTGTGTATTGTTTGCTTTAAAAGTTATTGAATTATGTTGTTCTGATGTTTTGGTGAAGTTTTCTATGCCTTATCAACAATTTAAAACTTTAACTACTGCTCAGAATAACGAGACCACCATTTGTTTACATTTGAAACTTAGTAGAATAGTGAATTAAGTCAGTGCACCAACTTTAATGTCTGTTTTCCCAGTAACATCAAAAGTTAAATTTCAGTTTGTTTGCACTGAAAATTCGGTCTTCTTGCCCATTTGCAGAATTGCTTGTTTATCCATAGAAACTTGAGAACTGAATTCATTGAATGAGTAATCTCTAATGAAATTTGAGGAAATAAGTTTAAATGAAGTGCAGCAAAAAATAGGTATAATGTAATAGGGCATACAAGAAAGTCATGTTTTGTTCAGACTTTTTTGGGGGGTGTGAGTCTGTTAAATCTTTATTTTATTTTTTAATAATGTATTAGTACAATTAATAACAGTATTTGTGATGGCATATATTATGTATCTGCTTGAAATCATTTCGTTTTTTGTTCAAAATTTGTTTATTTAAAAAAAAAAAAAATAAGAAGAAGAAACAAAAGCAGCTATTATGCTGCCATCTAATTTTATGTTTTTTTTTAACTAGTTTTTCAGGAAACTTTTAAGTATTATCATGTGTAGGTATTAATTTTACCTTCAGTTGCTTAGTAACTAACATTTTAAGTTATTATTCAAATAAAAGTTGATATTTCATATGTAAGTTCCTTTTTCTAATAATCTTTTAGACGGTAATGTTTACTGCAACTATGCCTCCCGCTGTTGAAAGACTTGCCAGATCTTATTTAAGGAGGCCATCTATAGTATATATAGGTTCTGCTGGAAAGCCCGTTGAAAGAGTTGAACAAATAGTTTATATGGTTACTGAAAATGTTAAGAGGTAAGTTTTCATCATTTTGCATATTTTGATAAATATTAAATATGAAATTAGTCTAAATATGTGTACTTTCTAACAACTTTACCTCTAAAGCTTATAGCATTCTGTATATAAATATTTACTGATGCTTTTTGTTCATCAGTCTCATACATGTCATTAGATAAAATAATATAAAAGTAAATATGCGGAATATTGAAGAAAGTGGCAATAGTTTTTATTTCCGTAACCCCTTAACTGCCGCGGGCGTATATATACGCCTTGCTCAGCCGATGCGTTAACTGCCCCGGACATATATATACGCCCTTCCAAACTACTATCATTTGCTTTACCCTGCTACCGTAAAATTATTTGGAAAGCGACACCACAATGACCTTGACAAAGAATGCGAAGGAGGATACTATTCCAGAAAAGTGTGGGGAGAAATTGGAGAGAGGGCTGTGTCTAAAGCGGTGAAAGTAATGACGGCGGTATTGGCTGGTGTTGTTTGAGTAAAACATATTTTTTTTATTTTGTGTTCTCCGTTTTCATTTACTTTTTATAATAGGTTCCAGGAATAAAGAAAGATATAACGGATGTTTCAAATCCATTTATCTTTTTTGAATTATTTTTTGATGAACTGCTCGTGCTTCATATTGTTATTGAAACTAACCGTTTTGTAGATGAGTATATGAACCAACACCTTGCAAACGAAAAATCAAGAACAAAATCATGGCATTCAACCAGTTCAGAAGAAATATATCTTTTTTTAGGCATATTGATTTCACAAGGTATAACACCGAAACCCGATGTTACACTTTACTGGTCTAAAAATGAATTGATCAAACTCCATTTTAGGGATCTTTTTTATTATAAAAAGATCATTTTTATTATACTTACACCTTTTTATTATACTTTTACTCAAAACATTAAATTTTGTGCATTCATTTTTTTCTAATACATCGCATAACTACGCGCGCCTGTGTGAAAAACCGTGGCACTGTGAAATGAATCTTGTACCTTTTCCGCGGCAGTTAAGGGGTTAAATACTGATCCTGCCATATTTTTCTAAAGAACACATTTCTGAAAGAAATAAAAAAGAGAGAACTTCATGAAAACCATTTTATATCTAAAGGTTGATCAGTTTTGTAAATATTAACTCTTTGTATAATTCTTGTGGAGTAAATTGTCTGGTTGGTAAAATTTTCACTATACTTTTTGATAAGAATAAAAAATGTTCTGTGTGTTTACATGCAAAACATGTAACAAATTTATTATTAAAGTTTTACTGTCTTTCCCCCTGCCATTCTTACTGTACCTCTGATGTATATTGATATAAATTCTGCATAACATCTATCTTATTTCAAAATGATCATATACATTTTGAAATTTTTAATCATAAGGATTTGAAAGACCCCCCCCCTTAGTACAAGTGTTATGTGGTTTAAATTAAGTATATTTGAAGTGATGTTCTCTCATCTGTAGTCTTCCAAGTGTAATCATAAACTTTTTTTAATTGCTAATCAGTTACCTTTACTATGTTTTGTCCAAAAGAAGCAAATTTAAGTAATTGCCTTTTCATTAATTTTAATTCATTGTAACTTTAACAAATCAATGCTTTTTTTACTATGTTTCCTTTATCTTATATTGAATCGTACTTATAAAAATATTAGTTTTAGAAATATTTTATTTATTTACACCCCCTATCTGCATGCAGTGTTACGAGCTGGTGTCTTTTTATTTATTTTATTTGTTTACTTACGCACATTACAAGGTTTGTTTCAGATTTCCACGATATGAATGCCTCATCTTTCTCAAATGTTTATATATATATATATATATATATATATAGTGTATTTCTCTTTGTCACAATACATTAATAATTATGAATAGTTACCCTGCATATCTGTGCATAAATGCCAGCATCTGTTCTAAATGAATTTGCCTTATGGATTTAAGACTTATGGATTTAAAATATAATTTCATTCTCTTTTGTAGTTTATTTCAGTGTAGTTTTCTGATACTAATTTTAAATACTAGGTAACAAAATAGCCTCTAATGATTACACCAGTGTTAATATAAATATTGATTTTTTAATATTGTCATTGATCTTACTGATCTTTGTGTGAATATGTATTTACTAGAAGTATTTTTATTATAATCATTAAAAATATGTTTTCTATATAAATGTGTGTATGTCATATTAATTGGTCTTTACATTGATAATCAATGATATCTTAATGCATTGACTCTGTATTATTTCTTGTTCTTATTTTCTTGAAGTAAAGTGATAAATTCATTATAGGAAATTTAATAGAAGTATTTTCAAATTTGTTTTGAGAGAAACTATAGGGCAATATTTTTCAATTTTTTTTCTTTTACAATAGGAAGAAGCTTATGGAGATATTGGAAGAAGGTGTTGAACCTCCAGTTATTATATTTGTCAACCAAAAGAAAGGTGCAGATGTTTTGGCCAAAGGTCTTGAAAAAATGGGTGTAAGTTTTAATGGCAGATCTGTAAATTTTATTAGCAAATCATTAATTTGGTTGTTTCTGGTAACAGGTTTAAATATATTATTATCTTTCTTTTAAAAGAGAAAATGTTTTATTTTAAAATTTAATAATCTTTTGAAAAATACATTTCTTAAATAAGTAGCTATTTTTTTATTCTGAATTTCCTTAATGTCTGTCATATTTGTTTTTTTGTTTTGAAAAACTTAATAATGTTAGTAATAATGGAGGGATTTATCTTATTGAGATTGCATTTATCAATTCACACCTTGAATATATAAACAATAGAAAAATGAAGACTTTGCATCTGCCATAAATGGATGTTGCCATAAAGAAAGTTAATCAAGTTCATAGGTCAAGATCTAAAATTAATCACAAGTTCTTGATATTTTTTGGTAATTCATTTGATTCGAGTTACGTTAAACATTAATATGTGATATCAAAGTGTGACTAACATTTTCTTAATACCTAATTTTGAAAAATGTGAATGTTTTCATTGTTTTTATTGTTGACAGTAAATTAATTAAAAATCTAATTTGAAGCTGAAATATAGATTTTACAGATCTATAAAATCCTCTGGTAAAATCGGGAGATTCTTAATTTTTCATCTCATCTTTCTCCCAGTAAATCCGTTAGTTTTTTTTAAAATTTAAATCTGAATTTATATCACTCCTTTCAAATGCAGTTTAGATTTGTTGTTATCTTGGTGCAAATTGTAAAGGAAATGCCGAAAAGAAAATGTTTATGCTAAATTCTTAAAAAAAGAAAATAAAATTCAGGCATGCCATATTTTAATGAAATTTAAACTTGCAAGAATTTCATGTTTTTTAAGTTATTTTCAGTGTAATTTTTTGGATTATTTTTTACTAATCTGTTTTAATCTACTATAGAGGTTGTAAAACATTTTATCAAGCTCTCAACTCTGAGCTAAAATATTTGCATTAATTTTGCTTTATATATTTGAATGGTAAATTGCCGAGTTTATCCACAGTATTTATTACAAGTTCCATTAGTTATTAATTTTATTTTTCTTGTATTTAAAATGCTTATGTTTTTATCAAAAAAATTTTTAAAAAGTTGCAAAATTAAATTAAACTAATCAAAAATGTAAAAAGTCGAATAATGAATTAAATTTAGGTTAACATGTTTTACAGTCAAAAGTCTTTAATCCGGACTCGTCGGGACTTCGGCGATTCCGGATTATCGATTTTTCCGGATTATAGATCATCAGTTTAAATCTGGTAAGATGGCATGCAGAAATTATAAAATTAAAAATATGAAACCGTAATTTATAAAATAATGAGCAATTATGATCTAAAGGGTATCAAAATTTACAAAAAAAGAAACTTAATATTTATTTGTTTACTTTATTAAACATTTCTTTCAATGCGCATGCATACAGCATACCTTCCTTATGCATAGCCGAAATTAGAAAATTGCAACCTGAAAACTATTTGATTTGTATTCGTGATATTTATAATGACGAGGAATTTGATTTAAATCATATCAAAGACGGAGTACATCAATATTAAATACTACATTTAGTAAGGAATTATAAACCAAATAAAATAAAAACATTTGCCCTGAAGATAAGGATAGTGCTGGCAGATCAACTTCCAATTCATTGCGCTCCGTGACATTCTCACCCCCCCCCCCACAGAGCAGCGTGAAATTGATAAACAGATTTCGGAATGGTTAGATAAACAGATAAACAAAGCATATGCCTTTTTCCATTTTTTGCAGCAATTACACTTTTTGTTTGAAGGATTAACTGAAATAGATAATTAGATAATTTTAACTTAGCCTATACCATTCGTTATACATTAAACGTGAATGTGTAAAGGTATTATGCAAATTTCTGCTTATGCATAACCGCATTATGCACTTACGCATGCGCAGAAAGTTCGTGGCTTTGAGGTCCGGATTATAGATCATTCCGGATTATGGATGTCTGGATTAAAGACTTTTGACTGTATTGCAAAATATATTTTAATAGCTTAATAATGTAAATAATGCATTAAAATGACTTTACATTACATTTAACACTTTGGAGTTTTGGAGTTCTTTTAAAGATATGAGTATGCATGGCATAAAAATCTCCTAGTATTTCACATTTCATGTTTACCTATAAATTTCATGTAGCATTTTTGTATAACATTTCATGTTTCACTATACACTGTAATTTTTTTAACCAGTGAGCTATTTCTTTAAAGTGTAAATAATTTAGATATTGATTAATGGTGTTTGTATTGAGCTGATTAAATTAAACATTTATTGGCCTACCATTTTGGAAGTAAGGGAACTGGAAATCGCACAATTTAGTAATGAATTCATAGTTGGCAGAAGACTAGTTCTGGAACAAGGGTTTTGAATTCTATAGAACTCCGGATTTGTATGGGGAGAAAAAAAGAGAGAGAGAGAAACTGAATTGAATAATTTTGAGGTAGGTGAGACACTGAAGATTTTGAGTTAAATCCACATTCTTCAAATAATTTAAACAAGAATGGTCAGAAAATGTTGCTGTTAACAGACCAATTTTAAGAGCTAAGGCAAAAGAATGAACTTTAAGTACTTACAAGATTATCTTGAGAACAATAAAGTTGTTGAACATTATGCCATTATGGTATTATACCATGAGCATAGAGTATGTGCAAGAAGTACGTGATTAAGGGGGAAAAATTACCTATGGACTCTAATATAAAGAAAATATTGAGTAAGGATGAAATTAATCTCTTTTACATGTATTGGCTCAAAAATTTCGACTGCATAAAAGACAGGTAGTGCACAAGTAAAAATTATTCCAAAATACATATTGCAGTTTTAGTTGGAGCAAATTATAATGGGTCTCAGAAACTTCTATTTTTATCGTTAGCTTTTCAAAGTTCCAGGTCACATCTGTGCATAAATTTTTCAATCAAAAATTATGTTCCAGATCAGACTTTTGAATAATGTGTAAACCTAGAGAATGATGTTGAGAAATGATCTGATCTAAAGTTCCGAGTGTTCATATTCTCTTTTAGCAATTTATCTGTGTGCATTTTATATACATATTACAGTAATACAACTTATTAAACCATAAATTTTAATTGCTGAAATATATGCCTTCTTTTAATATTACATCCTGTTTCGCAGACAAAATATTTGCTATTGATTGTAGTCAATTCCTCATAAACTGGATATTAACTAGGCTCTGTTTAAAATAAATAAATAATTTGTAAAAAATTTATTACAGTGAGAACATTACTATCACAAAACATCAGGTTAAAATAAAATTGTTTACAAAAAATGAAAAAGGAATTGGAAAATGTGTGGAATAACTATAATGATTGTAGATGATGTCTTAGTTTATAGGAGCTATTTTTACCCCCAGCAGTATATAATACAGAATATAGCATGAGCATTATTAAATATTCATTAAAAGTAAATTTTCTGTTCATAAAATAAATCACAGCCATTAGCGTTTGATTAGCGTTTGTTGACTCTCATTAGAATACAAAAATAATATAAATAAACCATGGATCTTCCTTTAAAAAAAATATTCATTTAATTTATGCCACCAGGTAAACAAAGTCTACAGTCTAAAATTGCTTGAAAATACTGGTAATTGTTTTTATATTATTATATGGGTTATTCCTCTTTCCTTTGTTTTTATTTGTCCTTGGATTTGCTCAATTTGTAAGAGTAACTGTGGATGCTGTATATGGGATCCCAACCAATTGAAAATTGATTTGTATTAATGAAAACCCATTGTTTGTTAACCTTATTCTTAGCAGCAAGTTATTTATGATTATATGATTTGTTCAAATACAGTGCTTAATTTTTTTTTTTTCCAAATTTATTTTCTAGTACAATTCTTGTACACTGCATGGTGGTAAGGGTCAAGAGCAAAGAGAATATGCTTTGGCTAGTTTGAAAGGTGGCTCTAAAGATATTTTAGTTGCAACTGATGTAGCTGGAAGAGGTATTGACATTCAAAATGTATCGATGGTCATAAATTATGATATGGCTAAAACTATTGAAGGTAAGTTTAGAATTTTTGGTTTATAAATTTATTATATTTGAAAATCATTATTTTGTAGTTATAATCAGAGATGATAGGGTAAAATTATGAATTTTGAATTTTACTTTAATGACAGCTTTAGATTTCATTTCATTTAAATCTGGGTTTTATCATTTGATTAATCAGCCATTGAAATACAATCATAGATTTATATAAAGCCTTCTATTTCTAGTTCCTTGCATTTCCCTCCTACTTACTTAGCACTAGGTTTTGAAATTTTTTTAAATATTTACACAATTTTCCCCTTTTTCATTGCATTCAGAGAATAGCCTCTGTTGAATTTTAAAATAGATTCATTCACATAGTGATTGTTTTCATCTTACTAAAAAAGACAACCCTTGCAAACTATTGTGAAGGTCACACTGAACCTTTTCTTTCTAACTGTTAAACTTTATGCCAGCTTAATATAAGAACAGACCCATCGCAGTGAAACATACGTGAACTAACATTCAATCTATTTTTCATTAAGTCAAATGCACATTCACCTTCTCTAATTACTTATGGATGGTTTGAGGTCTAAGGAATAGAAAAGTAGAAACGAAGATACCTTATTAGATATTGTAATGTTAATATTGCTATGTATCTTGTTGGAATGTAGGTTTCCTTTAAAGAAATAATATTATAATAGTCACCTGAAGTTTATCCATAACATCTTTTGTTATGGTTTTTGACTATGTGTTGACCTTCATCTGTTATGTTCTTAATGTAATTGCACTGTTTGGAAATTAATTTATTCACATAATTTTCCCCTCTCAGTTTTCATATGAAAAAAATTAGTAAATAAAAGGGGGGGAAATATGTAATTCTTTGATTAGATTTATAATTAAGAAATGAGGTATCTTATGTAAATAGATTTATGTGGCTTCATATTTTCAACTATCCTGACTTTTGCAGAGCTTCCCTAGGGATACAGTTAAATAATAAGCTGTGAAATTATAAGTTGAATTAATTAATAAATTCATCAGATTATTTAGCTTATTTGTTAGGAAAAAGTAATTCTGTGGTCTTGTATTAAGGGCTAGATTAATGTACTTACTCATACTTTTGCCTTCTCACATATCCAGCCTTTTCAGGAAAAAAAATTGTATTTATGATTTAAAGGAATTTCATGCATGATAATAACATGCAAGGTTTAGATAGATAGCATTGCATGAGGTATACATAAAAAAAGTAGTATTTAAAGTGACAAATGCAGCCGATTTTTGAAATTTAGAACATACAGTCAAAAGTCTTTAATCCGGACTCGTCGACTTCGGCGATTCCGGATTATCGATTTTTCCGGATTATAGATCATCAGTTTAAATCTGGTAAGATGGCATGCAGAAATTATAAAATTAAAAATATGAAACCGTAATTTATAAAATAATGAGCAATTATGATCTAAAGGGTATCAAAATTTACAAAAAAAGAAACTTAATATTTATTTGTTTACTTTATTAAACATTTCTTTCAATGCGCATGCGTACAGCATACCTTACGCATAGCCGAAATTAGAAAATTGCAACCTGAAAACTATTTGATTTGTATTCGTGATATTTATAATGAATTTGATTTAAATCATATCAAAGACGGAGTACATCGAGATGAAATACTACATTTTAGTAAGGAATTATAAGCCAAATAAAATAAAAACATTTGCCCTGAAGATAAGGATAGTGCTGACAGATCAACTTCCAGTTAATTGCGCGCCGTGACGTCCCCCCCCCTTGGCAGAGCAGCGTGAAATTGATAAACAGATTTCAGAACGGTTTGATAAACAAAGGATATGCCTTTATCCATTTTTTGTAGCAATTCGTTTTTTGTTTGATGGACATCGAAACATACTTTCGTTTTCTAGATCCTTTGGGAGCTCAAGCATCGGAAATTCTATTAGACATAATCGAAAGTTCAAGCTTACTTTTATAAAATTGCTCTTACAGTCTGCAAAAAATAATAAGCCGTATCCAATTCGAAGATTAAGGAACAACGCAATCATCAGCATTAACTGAAATAGATAATTAGATAATTTTAGCTTATCCCGTCCGTTATACATTAAACGCGCTCGCAAAAACGTATTCTGCGCTTGCGCAGACGCATATGCGCAGTCGTAAAAGTCTTGCGCGCACGCGTAAACGCCTATGCACTTGCGAAGAAAGATTTTAGCTTTGAGGTCCGGATTATGGGTGCCCGAATTAACGACTTTTGACTGTAGTAATATTGGTTACATCTTTTTACTAATATTGATGCATATATGCTTTTAAGTAAGAAGTGTACAACAGTGTCTTTTTAATCTGCTATGTTCGTTTTTAACCAATGTCTTTAGAAATTGGTGTACAACATAATTTTCTGTTTTTAGTTATTAGAGAAGTAAGATTAGTAAAACTAGAGAGACAGAATATGCAAGTAAATATGATATGTCAAGATTAATATGGGTCATTAAGTCATTTTATGTGGCTTTCATTTTTAAAGCAGACTAGTTTTTTAATGACCTAATGAAAAATGATTCATTTTGTGATTCAATTGTTAGTAAGCCTATAGCAATATACTATAATTTCTCTAAATAACTGCAAATTCTCATACTGAATGTGTATGTATATATTTTTATCTTTCAGATTATACTCACCGTATTGGGCGTACTGGTCGTGCTGGTAAACATGGTATTGCTGTTACTTTCATTACCAAAGAAGATTCTCATTTGTTTTATGACTTGAAGCAACTTATTATGACCAGTCCTATATCTACTTGTCCTCCAGAACTTGCTAATCACCCAGATGCTCAACATAAGCCAGGCACAGTCATTACTAAGAAAAGAAGGGAGGAAAAGATATTTGCATAAAACTGACCACTTTGTAATTGTAAAGATAACTTTAAAATTTATGCAAGTTATTTTATCCATTTGCAGTCAGCATTGCTGTCAAACTAATGAGAGTTGTAACTCAATGGGAGGAATGCTTTCATTTCATAAATGCCAAGGAAATAAGGACATCATTTATTTTCTGAGAACACTTTGTAATATAAAAAAATCATGTTATAAATTTTGTAATAAAATGTTTTTCTCAGATGTAGTTTTCTTTTGATAATTGCATCTTGACCTGTTCAATCTTCATTTATATGCAAGTTGAATTATAAAAGAAGCTTCTAATGTGACAGTTCTGAAAAATCGGCATCTCTTTCTCTATTCTGTCTAGTGCAGTTCTCTTCTGAGGAAGCATCTTTCTGTTTCTTCATTTGCATCATCTGCTGTGATAACAGAGCAACATGAGTTCTCAGGTGATAATTACATTTGATAAAAATGCTCTGCTAATTCATATAATTCATGCATTATCAGTTTCAGTTTATTCAAATCAACTATCATTTTACTTGATATCTGAATTCCTTTCTATATAAAGACTTTTCTTTAAATCAGTGCTAAATTGTATGTTATTTTTAATTGTAAATACCTTAGAAAAGTGTGGGAAGACAGTGGACATTACATTAAAAGAAAAAAGAAATTGTTTAATTTTTAAAGATTCCATGTAATTTATTGTGGTTTGAGATATATTGGCCATACTAAATGAGCATTAAAATTTCACATCAAAGAGCATGAATCTTATGTCAGAAGAGAAGAAATAAATAATTTTTTATGTGTCTTTACTATTTCCTTAAATAGACAACACTATGCTAGTTTTTGCTGTCCTTCATTCTTTGTTTTTGGAATAAATATGTCATGGCTCTTTCCTTCTGTGCAGAATTTTTTTTTTTTTTTTTTTTTCTTTGCTCCTATCGAAGAGAGAAATATGCCCGCACAAATACATTGTTGCAAAAGAAAGTAAAATAGGAGTTCGTTTTGATAAATTAGGATTTTCCTCTGGCAAATTTATCCAAATTTTTTAATTCATTCTTTTTTTTTAACAAAATGCAGGTATTGGTTATCAAATGAATTCTTCAAAATCAGCTGCTTTCATATCTGTTGACTTACACCATGAAAGGTGTTTTGGATCCCAAAAAATTGTCTTCCAGGTACTGTGGGAAATATTGACTAAGAATTAACTGCAAGTCAAACAAACATTTCACTATAAACTTTGCTGTTAATTTTTTAACTTTCTTCATTAAAGAAACTATCTAAGATGGAAAAACATTCATATTTAACCAGAACATTTCAGTATATCGTAGCAGACAACTGCAATATTCAACTTTTTTAAAGAATAAGGTTTTAAATAACAAAAAATTGCAATTATTAATTAGTATTGGTAAATATTTTATAATTACTTATCAGTGTCGAGAAGAAGTGTAAAATGTCCAATGAAAACTAGAACTTTTAAAATGATAAGTGACAGTGATATTGAAATACATCTTTAATTCTCAGCACAGAACAGAGATGCATTTTTCATGTACAGTGGCTCACATTTGGTTTCAAACACTTGTATTTTGAAATTTATTTGGATAGATCTTGCACTAAGTATTAGAACATAGACTTAATTTTTTTTTTTTTTTTTCTGATATGTTAAATTTTCACTTCAAGCCTTGCATATTACAAAATAAATATCATGAAAATATTCTTTGTGATAAAATCATTTATTAAAAATGTATTAGTCGGTAGCTTACATAATAATTCGTTCGCTCGAAATTTGTTAAGTTGTTTTGGCAGGTAAAGTATCTTGTCATAGTTTTTTGTTTTAAATGAACATATATCATCTGCATTTGGAAATTATTACCTGTTTACCAAAATATATTAACAGTTCCATATTTGAAGTGATAGGATGCAACAAAGTAACGACAAGTTTGTTAGAAATTTAAGTATTCATCATTTTAAAGATCGTAAAATTATTCGAAGCATCCAAAAAAAATCCATAATGTATATCTAGTATTCATTTATCTTTCATGTTATAAAATGCTGAAAATTGCAGCGAACTGTTGAAAATGCACTGAAATATAGACCACATTCCAAGCTAATTAAGAGGAATGAGGTTCATCGTATTAAAAGTGAAACAAAACTCGAATATTATTGCTCAAAAACTTGCAACGAATTTGCAAGAATAATTTGCAATTAGAAGAATCCTTAGAGCAAGTGGAAACAATAGGCGATCGCCAAGAAGAAAATTCCTCGTCAACAAGGAAAATACACCTGGCATTCACAAAAATCTATAGTAAGCAAAGCTGTATCATGATAAAATAATGGTGAAAAGTGTAGTTTTAGCCAAAGGATGTCAAACAAAATATTGAGTGTCTCATTATTGTGTTTTTATCAAATATAAAATATTTGTTCCTAGTGTCTGAATACTTCTTTTTCAGAACTTTTTCAATGAACTATGGTGTTTGATAGGCCTTGAAGATAGGTTACAACCCCTGGACATAAGATAACAGAAAATGAACTGATCTGCGTTAAATTACCATTGATTTGAACTAGAGATATGCATGTTGTGTACCAAATGGCTGCCCAAACCATCACATCAGATGCAGGGTCCCTCTGCTAATATCAAAAACAAACAGGCAACATGCAGTCTCCTTGGAGTTTCCAGACATGTATACAGCCATAAGAATACTGCACAAAGAAATGGGACTCGTCTCGAGCTTTGTCGTTCGGGTTGCCGTCTCTCTCTCTATGCTGCATTGTCGAGGGAAGCCAAAGTAATGGTTGCCGTACTGATAGTTCACGCTGCTGCAAACATGGCCTTTTTCTGACTAATGGTCCATGATGTGGTCGTATGCTTTTGCAGGGCTGACCTCACAATATGTCTGTCCTCTCGGTCGTTAGTCATGGGAGGGCTTTGAGACCCTGCATGACGTTCAGTATGACCCTCGGCAATCCGTTGATTGCATGTGCGCATGACAGTGTTTGGATGTCGACCAATGCGATGGGCAATATCACGAAATGATAATCCCCTCTCTCGATAGGCAACGATTTGGCCTCTAATTAAGACACAATAACACGCTGAATAAATACTAATTTCAAAGTCAAACAACAAAAATCAGAGTTATATTTTCAAAATTTTCACAGGACTAGTTTCGATGGTTTTACCAAACCACCATCCACAGCTGCAAAACTGCAAATGAACAAGATAGGAAATAATGATTAGATAAGATAAGAAAGCCTGGACAAGAATAAGCAAGTGGCGCCATCTGTTGGTGAAACCAGAACTAAAACATAATTTCTTTAAAGGCCGAAGGCAAAGATGGATTGGAATTAGGATCGTTAACTAGAACAGAAAGATTTTTTTGAATGTGAAATGCCTCTAGAAAATCCAGTTCTCCAATGAAAGATGTTTTTTGAATAATTTTGGCAGCAGAAAAATTGAAAGTGTGATTGTCGGACCAGCGATGTTGAGCAACTGAAGACTTCTGTGTTTCCTTTTTTCTAACATATGCCTCATGTTCCTTGACACGAAATTTTAAGGCTCTCCTAGTTTGGCCAATGTAAATCAAACCACACTGGCAAGGAATCCTATAAATACCTCAAGAATTCATATCCGGAATGGGGTCCTTAAGTATAGAACTCGGAATTTTATTGATGGGAGAATAAACAATGCATTTGTTGTCATTCCCTTCTTTCCATCAATTAGCTATAAAGTTGCACATATTTTGCAGAAATTTAACTTTCGGGTTATGCTGATTTTTGTTGCTGATTTTTGTTGTTTGACTTCGAAATTAGGATTCTGCCTCTATCGAATTCCAACACTTGCTGGTAAGTATTTCTTCTTCTTCCAGGCATAAGACGATATTCTGTGTAAATTCTGACTTTGCAAAGCGCTTTCCGAATAAAATCTACTACACAACTTTTCTTTCATGCAGTGTCTAAGAAGTCGTTTCTTCCTCCTGCATCGTCTAAATGCGCTGAAATAATACTTATATTTGCATATCCCAACCTCTTCTTCCTTTCATGTGATTTTGACTTTTGTCTGATCATTCCTTCCTGGTGTTGCAATTTTAATGGCCAGTAGTTTAGAAAGGTGTGCTATTCGTTTGAGAATTGATTCAAAGAACCGACTCACTCTTCTCTCTTAGCGAGAGAACACTCATTGCCCCCCCCCACAAAAAAAAGTAAGGGGTTTTAAAGGTGAGTGTATTGTTAATTTCCTACAGATACTGATCACTGAAATTAATTAAACATGACAGATTGTGTAAATTAACCAATTCACTTTAATAAAATAACATTTTATATTTACGAAGAACGTGGTACAAAAGACATATTTGAAGATGCGATTTTTGTGTACAAGCCTCATGCAAGTTCCAGTAGCAATCAGAGATGTCCGTTTTCCTGAAGCAAATTACATGTATTCGTTACTGACTAACAAGTACATCGGTTGACTTGTAGTACCAAATCGGTACTCACAAATTGATTCTGTTGTTTGCATTTATCATTTGACAGTTTGACGCGACTGCTATTCGAATTTACGATGAATAAGACGCAGGTAGAATGAACTTCTGCCAGCGAATGAAATGTGTGTCGCACGCATATTTTTACTTCCTTGTACAAAGTAAAAAGGAAGTATTGTAATCGCGAAAAGTTTCAGGCAGCATGTTTCAACGAAAATATCCATTTTGACCGCTATTGAATGCAATTTAACGATATTTTTGCATGATATCTGTACGTAAGGACAAAATAAAATATTCTTTTCCTCCAAAAAAATTATAAAACTGTTTTCAAATGAATTCTGAAGAGAAATTTTGGTGGCGTCTGTACAAACATATGTACGTACCTCGCATAACTCAAAAACGAGCAGCCTCAGAACGTTGAAATTTTGTATATAAGACTACTATAACATGTAGATGTGCACCTCGTATTTTAGTTTCAATCGGACGCGCCAAACGTATATAAATATATTTATAAATATATCCACTCTGTTACCCGGCTCAGTGATCTCAGTTTCTTTACTCTTATATGTTTGTAAATTGTACATTTTTTGCTTTAAAAATGATTGAATTATGTTGTTTTTATCTTCTGGTTAAGGTTTTTATGCCTTTAGTAAATCTGTATGCAATATTTTTAGAATTATCAACAATTTTAAAGTTGTTTAAGTGCCACTACGCCTAATAATTTTTTTTGATGGCGGCCATTGCTTGTTTACATTTGAAACAGCAGGATAGT